GAGTGCAGACCATCACCTCATTCATTGCGTACCTTCATGCGAAAGGCTTCATGACAGAGCAATGCAAGCAACGACTCTTCGGCTTCAAGTCCAAAACCGCATGGGAAGGAGTTGATCAAGCTTTGCTACAGTTTCGGTTCAGCCACCCCTCCCGCCTGACGGTAACCGAGTTAAACATCACCTGAAGACGCTTCGCGACAATCTACACTGAGAGAAGCCCTTCCGTGGCATCCGATTTGCAACTGAGGGATGAAGCATTGATGAGAATCTCAATCACCAGCGGCGCAAGCCTCAGGCGAGCTTACAGAATCGAGATCTCTCTGAGGGTGAGTAATAGGGCTTCTGTGAGACAAGTGGTTTTTTCAAGTGGTTTTTTGTTTATCATGCTAAGTCTGCTAAGTCTACTGAAAGTCTGCACTCTAGACCAGCTCCAGCACTCCTCAGCGATATCTTGTAGCAAAAAGACGCATCCAAGTCTGCAGCTCTGCAAACTTCAGCAACGTTCGCGGTGCCACCTGTGATGCAGAGATTGAGAAAGCTGGCTGGCTAACACGGTGGGGGCAATGATTTGCACCAGGGGAGAAATGAGAGAGATGAAGAACGAAGCGGCAGATGCTCAGGAACACACAGGTTTTCCCTACAATCCATGCATTGCGAAGTACTGGTATGGTTTGCGCTCTGGCATGTTTAGAGACACGTTGCGTCAAAGGTGAACAAAGGGGAAGAGGGGGAAGATGGAGAGCGAAGGAGAGCCAGAGAAGGAGCGGGCGAAATCGGAGAGGGTCTGTCTCGTTGTGGCTTGGTCAGGGTCAAATTCGTCTAGTTGATCTGGCAGTGTTTCTTGCACTTTGGCTGTGTACCCCAACCACATTGCGCACCAGACCTCACCATCAGACTCCTTTGCCCACTGCACTAGACCACACCCTAAAACTGTTGTCGGGGTGATGGGCTCTGATGGGCTCAACGTGGAAGGCGCGCTGGAAAACAATCCCAGATCCACGCCCGTGCCAATCCCACACCCCCCACAATGGACCAACCCACCCTAGCACATGCCGATCTCCACCCACCCAATGATTCCCAAAGAGCAGATTGCTTCCTTTAGAGGAAGATTCGTTGGATTTCGAGGCTTCGTGACTCAGGTGGGCATGTTGGTTTTGTTGGAGCAATACACCACGGCAAGAGTTCATTGTAGGTCTAAGTTCAACATGCCAGGGCCATCAACATCAACCAGCGGATGATCACTGAACTCCATACGAACTGCTTTGCCCAGCGGCAGACGAGACATGCCATGAGGAATGACTCCCACGCTTTGTCCCAACACATGCATTAAAACCTATTAGTTGGCCTTGTCATTGTCTGAATTGGCAAAAAGATCGCAAAGGATTCAGTGAGCTTGCACAGTCAACAGAAGTCTAGGGGATTCAACTTTCAGAGCGCCCATGTATGCATGTATTCTTGAAGTTTTGCTTAGCAGTCCCAGCGGTTCCCTCAAGATCATGGGGAAGTAAGCTCGGTCCAGCACCTTCTTCACGATCAGTTTGATGATGAACTTGGTGACACCACGGCTGCCCATGTAAATCCTGGACAGCATTAAGTCATGAAGTGGTTTGGCATGCGTGTTGCGTGTGTCGCAAGCAATGAGGCAGCTACAAAGCGTACAGGAGAAGCAGAAATTTGCTGGCCTAAGCTGTCAGGAATCTCTGGGGAAAGCCACAAACTGACACAAACTCTACACAACCCTTGGCCAAAAGTAAGCGGACAGAATCTGCGAGAAACCTTATAGGACCCCTTTCGGGGAAAAAACCGAGGCCGGATCTCGCTTGTGAGGATCGATTCCAAATGTTCGGACTTTCGGATGCCCAAGCTCCAAAGCCTTCGGAGAGCTGCGAGTGCGAAGTTCACCAAGTAGTTTCCGAGAACGGGTTTCTGCAGCTCGTCCGTGCCAGGCTCCCGGCTGCCCGTGCGAGCGAACCCGCGAGCATGGCACGCTCCTTGTCCATGGGAACCAGCCTGGGTAAAATTCGCCGTGCGCCACGAATCTCGGGCTCTCTGATTGCAAGACTTCCCGTGAGTTCCCCCGCGTGATGCCGCAGATTCGGGTCATTCGCACTGCTGCAACCAGCGCGGCCTCAGCGCACTGCCACAACATAACATCACAGAAAAGACGGCGCAGCTGCAACCGCGTTACAGCCTGCACAATAGAATATGACTAGAACACAGAATTGAATACCATAGACTACAATACAACCGATTCAATGCAAAGAGAATGACACAATTAAGGGCATCATCGCGCCATGCCCATTTTGTGCTCTTGAATGTCTCATATGAGACTCTCGCACGGAGCTCACTGCATCCCTTTCTCCTCTACATGAGCTGCTTGGGAGCGGAGCCTCCTTGCCGGAGGGGGGATAATTAGAGGAGTTTAGATGTCTGCCACAGATTTCTCACATATAGAAAGTTCATGAGATGGTGTAGAATTGTGGCCTCTGTGTTCCTTGACCCTGGACCTTGCAGGTGCCGCTCTTGTTCCAGACTAGCAGTCTGCTGCAACCCACCCGAGACACACAACGCCTAATGCGCCAGGGCCCCCCAAAGCAAAACGCCTCTGCATATCTGCTCTGCCAGAGATCCGCTCACAGGTGGTAGACGGCTAAGCGCGAGTCGATGCAGCACACAACCATCTCGGCCAATGACCACACCTGAGATCATTCCCGCAGAGTCTTCCAAGGACATCTGCAGCCTCTCGAAACTAGGTCAGCAACCAGGGAGAAGCTGCCCGCAATGACGTTGAAGGCTGGACAACGCTCACAGCATCGTCACGAGAAGAAGCAAATCGCACTGCTGAACCAACGCCCGCCTATCCAGTCTTCTTCCTCGCTCACCATTGTTCCAGTCAAGTCGTTGAGTGCCTTCGGCATGAAGTCGGCATGCAGGAACATGCAGCATGTGGTAGCGTATTGCTTATGCTTGCTGATGAATGACACCCCTTCATATGAAACTCCCAGTACCTGTGCAAAGAATGCAGCACCAACACCAGCAAGTACGCCGGCCAGAACTGCACCCTGAGCTCAGAGCAGGTACAGAGCCTTTCTTAGATATTTAGACCCCCACACTGGCAAAGAACAAAGCTCGAAGCATCTGCTTAGCTCCCCGCATGTGAGCAGCGCCACAGAGCTCTCCTCTTCTCCTCCGTGAGAACGTGGGCCTTATTCTCCTCAGGCCATGGGTGAGACGTGGACTTACCCGCCCCGTCTCCCTCCACTCACCAGAACTTCATTCTCATGCCCCACCTTCACATCCATCTCGCGCATGGATGTGACAGCTTCCTGAGGGCCCACACATGCCCACACGGTTCTCGGAGGTTCAGCACGTTTCCTCTCATCTGAAGCGAGTCAAGCGAGTCCCTTGACCCCTGAAGCTTGAAGTTGTGCAGCATTCAGGCGTGGCACCCTTGTCCCATGCGATAATGAAATAAGAAAGTCTCGAACTGCGCTTCTTGCCAGCAAAGAGGCCACCATGGACATGGTTGTCGCAGGCTTGTTCTTAAGAGCCATCGTGTTGGATCTTGTTGAGGGAAACACGAGTCCGCCCAGCCTCGATGAAACGTTTGTCAATTGCTCAACCCTTCGCTTCTGCCTGCTGCAGGCTTCAAGTTGCATCGCATAGTGGCAGAGCCCCACACATCGAAGACACGGCTGCTCCAACAACGCTGCCCCTTCGTGCCAACGACTGCCTGGCCAGCATGGCCTACTCTTTTGGAAGCTGAAAGTTGCTGAAAGCTGAGTAGGATTCTGTGAGAGACTGGGTACCGGACACCGGCGTGGAATACGATGGCCTTCGAGGCGCCGTGGTGGGCAGCTCCTCCTGTCTGACATCTCTGCACTTTTACTTCGCAGCACAGCTGTCTCAAGCCTTCTTCGCCTGCAGAGGAGCGACAGCTGCTCCTAAGCCAAGCCGGCAAATCAAGCTGCTCATCACGTGGTATTGCACGTCAGGCCCTGCATATCTTGCCGATATGACCCATGAAGGCGCTCATATGATGCACTCTCTGCACAATTATTCAGATCTGCTTTACCCGGTTTACCAATCTGCGGCCGCGATGCTCATCTCTTCAAAAAATGATTCCCGGCCTGAACTAGCCAGGTTGAGAAAGTGGAGATAGTGGAGATGGCCGGCACCAAAGGCTGAGCTTGTGACGCTCTTCAGCTGCAGGTACATCCCGTTTCCTTTCTTTATGCGCCCTGCAGGGAATTCACATTCGACAAGCGCATTCTGATGCAGCCATGAGTTGGTCCCGCAATCGAAATCTCGAGCTATCCTTACACAACCAATAACGCGGCACTGCCAGCAGAATGGCCTTGCCCTCCCCGTCTTCTCAAGCTCGGGTGACAAGGTCGCGGGCATGCTGGCTGTGATTGCTGGGGGTGGCAGCGCAATTGGAGCCGTTGGCGGTCGCACTACGGCCAGACGCACTTGGTCCTCGGTCTCAATCAGCTTCGATGGTTCCATCGTGTCAACGCAAGATTTGTCATACACACTGTAGTATCAGGCTCTGAAAATTTGTCAAGGATGGTCAACTGGTCAATGTGAAGGGCCTTGACAACCCTCAAAACTCCAACCAGATCAAAGCTCATGAGTGAGGATGCAGGGGAGTGAGGATGCAGGGGCTCATCACGGCTCTCGGGTCCTGATACGCCTCGTTAACGTGCAACGTCACCACGTGAAACTGAAATACATGCTTGCAGGCCTGTTGGCACCATGGGGCGGAGGCCTGGTGATTAGTAGCCATCGTTCATCTAAGTGAGCACTGCAACGAAGCCAATCAAGCCCGTGCTGAATCTATCCAAAGACTCTGGATGCTTTGGCTGCGTTCTGGTGACGATGACTGGGCGACTCTTCTGACAAATAGTAGCCAGTTTCGCCTGCAAACCAACGGGCGAACCGGCGCCAGGGCAGGATGCTCCACAGATCAACTGGTGCCAGCTGCAAAAGCAATCAGATCACCATCCAGCCTTGTCTGGGTTCTTCGGCTGAGTTCTGGTAATCACTATGACCTCTCTCGCCTGGCAGGATGGCGGTCGCTGGTAAAACAAGGGCTGCAGTGATGCTCAAGAAAAAGATCTAAGCCTAGCATTCGCAGCAAAAAAGCAGGCGCCTTGCGTGACTTGACCGCATACGGGGAATCCGGCCACGGCTGGTTTACGTTGAGCACTTGCTCTAGCGCGTGTGATGACTCACTCGTTGTCGCAGTCAGCTCGGAATCGCTGCTGGAGCTCGAGGAGCTCGAGGAGCTCGAGTTCTCGGAATTCTCAGAAACGAAGTTGAGGCCTCTCTGGCCTGGCAGTGGTTCGGAGGCATTTCCCCTGGCCACGCAGTTGGTCATGTCGTCCTCATCCTCTGCTGGCGCTATGCGGCTGCGGGAAGACGGTCCATACATCAAGGAGATCAGCCAATAAAGGGTCTTCTCCATAGCAGGGAGGCCCTTCACAGCTTCCGCCTCTTCCTCGGCGCTGACGATCCTCGGCGCACCAAACAAATAGAGGGCCCTGGTGAACAACCGCAAAGTGGGGCTAAGAATCAACTTGTGCAGTCCAGGCACCTGTCCTGCGCCAAACTTGAGGGCAAGTCCACCAGAGCTTCCAGCGTGATTTGCGGAAAGAGTACCGAGAACCGCTCATGACTGACACCACGGACGAACTCCTGCCAGGTGATCTCACCAGAATCGTCTGCGTCCAAGAAGGAGAAGACGTCAGCAGCATACTTTTTCTCCATGTCCAGGGACTCCAACATCGCGACGATCTGGCCAGAGCGCAGCTTTCTTTAAAGTGCACATTGGCAAACACGTCAGTGAAAGGCCTGTCTGCAAGCCCACCCCATCCCAACAAGGTGCCTCTGCAAAGCTCAGCTTTGAGTTTCCATCGATGTCAATCTTGCGAAATGCCCTTTTGAAGAGCATGACCTCTGTGCAAGTAAGATATACAAGGCATCACGATCATCTTAGCTTTCTCGAAGCTACCACAACAGCGGAGCTGTAGTCCCGTGTGCTCTCCAAAACATCCAGGAAGAGTTGGGCTGCCAGCGCAGCTCTTGTCATTAAAAGCGTCAGTTGGGTCTGAAGTGCAGATGAAAGGCTCGCCCGAGCATTGTTTCAAGGGTGCCCTCAGTGACGCAGGTGTAGGTGAGAATCGCATCGGTGACCGACTCGTACGTGGTGGTCAGGAGCCCATCGAAAACCGTCGAAAGGACTTTCTTGGCATCCTCTTCTTGCAAACCTCCAGCACAACAAGGGGCTTCACTGGTTCACTGTGAACGGCCCTATGACTCAAGGAGCATGATGAGCCCCTAACCCATAGCTGCCAAAAGAGTTTCAACTTCATCTTGGCCAAGATCTCCAGCATGGTTCTGATCTATCAGGTCGAGTGCCTCAAAACAAAAAAAACACACGGGATCACACGGGGCCACGCTGGGCGCCCACGGGCTTCAAAGAGCATTCAAGAGCCTCTGTAACTAGGATGCTCTTGCGGCGCTTGACGCCAGGCGTGTCCACATTGCTTGGAGAAACCATACCCTGTCGGTGTCACTACGATATGATATGGGCAGCATTGTAGTGTGACTACTTGACCTAGACTTGTTCTTTGGCTGCAAGCTCTGTCCTTCCCTGTACCATGCATACGATGCATTACAATACCATTCCGTGCAGTTGCAACATATTGTGGCTCCAATACTTTGGTAGAATATGGCAGAATGATCTGGATTAACTGACCGCACAGATCCATGATCCGTGTGAAGCTAGTCTCAGCACGACCACGTCCAAAACAAAGAACGATGGTAATTTTGAAAAAGACAAGAGGAACACTGGAACACTAAACCTTCGTTCTTAACTTGCCACCCTTACAACAATGGGCATGTTTGCATGATGTCATCTGGATGCCATCTTCCTCCATAGGAGCCTAAAAGGCTTTGCTGCACACATCTAACGTCAACGAACAGAGGGGACGTCACCACAGAGCACTCCAATGCACTCCGGCACTCGCGATCCCTCGTGTGAACATGTGTGAACACGTGGCCACTGACAGAAGCTTCACAGGTTGCGATACTCGATCCGACCATCTGACAATCATTTTCTGGCACGCCACGGCTTGCCTTAGGCTCCGCGCAACACTGCGTCTTAGTCGGATGCGTGCCAGAGAAATTGAGGCGAAGGTATTAGCAATTCCATGCGACTCATCATCCTCACGAAACCTGTGTGGCCTTCTATAACAAGCAATGGGGCTGGAAAAGACTTTTTACTACGAATGAATGGACACTGCTTACATTCGCATGAGTCGCCTGGACTTGGCGGATTATTCTGAGTGCAACAAACGCGTAGCAGAATCTGCTTGTGTTGGACAAAGGAAGCTCTGCGGTCGTCAGAAAATGGCATACCAGATGTTAAGGACATCCTCAGGCCACCAGGCATCACGATTCTGGCATGTCAACAACTCCAGAGACATGTTTGCAAGCTGCTTCTGATGATATGGGGTTGGCACACACACACACACAAGTCGCATATCAGAGGTCACATCTCTCAATTCGAGGGACAGCGCTTCTCGTAGCCTAAGACCGTGCTCCCCAGCCAGCGCTCCGTCCCCTGAGCAGAACTGGAAAGATGCTTCATGCAAAAACTAACTCAAACAATCCAAAGCCCCTCTCCCGGTCTTCTGTAGCAGCTCTTCATCGCGAGTCGGCACCTCCACGCCGGTCTCGCCGCGTCGCTGGGAGTAGGACCTCAAAGAGCTCCGTTTCGGGGCATCGCTCGCGCACTGAGAGGCACGGCGGCTTCACCCGCGCTGCCCATGCCTTCATTCTCTCGTGCTCTTGAGCTCCGCGCTGCACCTGGTCAACATTGACCTGGCCCACCGAGAAGTACTTGGCCTGGCGAAAGCGGCCACGGATGCAGTGCAGAGAGTAAAAGAGTATGATGATGATTATGACTATGGTTAGTTACAACGCAGACTTGTAGTAGTCAAGAGTAGTCGGATGTCGAGGTTGAGGAGCAGCCTGTGGATGGGCAAACACCAGAGCCGACACAGATGCGCTCGGCCTGTCCAGCGGCAACCCATTCGGCAGAGGCAGGCCCGCTCACGTCACACGTGGCCGCAGCCGTCTGAGGGCCCGGGCATCATCATGTAGGACTCCGTCAGGGAGATCTTCTCATCAGTCAGCCTGCAACAAGCCAAGAGTCTTGCAAGAACGACACTGCCAGAGAACACTGCTTCATGTACTGAACGAAAGGCAGACGGCCACACGGCAACACGGCAATACGGCACACGCACGCGTCCCGCCATGTCCCGTCATACCCGGCCTGTCCACTTCCAGAAGGTCCCACCTCAGCAAGTTCTGAGAGCTGCAGTCTGGACATTCTGGACGTTCTGGAGATCGGATGTGCAGCCGGGCGAGCGGCAGCGTCTTCTTTTCTCGGTGGTCAGGCTGGGACGGATATCCCGGGGCAGGGCGAATGCCCTGATACTTCACCTTCAGCATGTCCGACAAAGACAGCTTCTCGTCTGGCCTCAATCTCGGCCAATCATGGCCAATCTCGGCTCTGGCTTCGGCTTCCATTGGTCGGAGATTTCTTGAGATTTTCGGTTGGCTAGGACAGCGGCGAGTAGCCCCAGAGAGTGGTTCCTCGCTGAGACAAGAGCTACACATGCTACACGAAAAGATACTGAAAGCATTATGAAAACCTTAGGACGGATTTGCAGCTTCCGCTGTCAGCTGGTTCATGCTGGTTCACATCGAGCTTCGGATCTTCAGGTGGATGAGCTCACTGAAGGCCTCCGCAAGCCTGTCTGCCACGGCCTGCCCACACGTGACGGTACAAAAACTGTCGAGATGTGTTGCTTCGGTGCCCCTACGGCCCAACCTCCAGCAAGATCGCCTGGTCAATCTCACCCTTCTCCTCGAACTTCTGGCGTTGCTCGTGGCATCCGATGCCGCCCGTGCAGGCGAAGGCAGCGATGTAGTCCGGGGCTACATCCTGGGCAACCGGGGCAACTTGGGCCTGACTTGAGGATGCTGCGCCACGTTGCGCAGTCCGACAACACGTCGCGCTGCGTCGCGCCTTTGGGGCAATGAAGTCACCCTGGCACCAGTATGTGGACTCGCCCATGTCCAGCTGCTGGCGAAGCCCATAGAACTTGCATTTCACGGTGTCGCGGTTCTCGTTCGTGTAGACCTAATCGAGCAGTAGAGCAACATGGAACAACACAGCGAGAGGAAAGCCAAAAAGCAGCCTGCGGACAGTTCAAAAGCGACGCCGTAGCGTGCGCGAACAAAGCACCGATTTGCGAGTGAGCATGTCTCAGCGACTGCCGTAGGAACTAGCAGGTAGCTAGCAGCAAGCAGCAGCTAGCAGCAACTGTAGCGCGACCCACGGGTCACCTTACTCATAATGACCCACCCGACCCACCCAGCCTCGATGTCGTCACCGACGGCATTGGCAGGATGGATTCCCACCACGCCTACACTCGGATCACTCGGCCAGCCGGGTGGCCCATGTTGCAACATGTTGCAAACCCAGCCAGACCGATCGGACCTGAACACTTCAGAAGCCCCTCCTTGACAATCCACGCCTTCCACAGGTCACCGCATGCATAGGCGGAGGCAACGCGGGTGCCACGCAAAGTGGAGGCAAGGAGTAAGCCGGGGCTCTCGCCAACATGTCCTTCGCCTCCTGAAAGAGCTTCTTTGCTTCGGGGCCCACGCGCTCGTCCTCGGTATGGATCCGTCCGTGCAGGTCCGGCAGGAGAGCGACAGCAATGTCCAAGTGCCTTGAAGATGTGAGGGTAGTCGCGGTTGGGGTACTTGCCTCGCAGCTGGTACACCTCTCAGGCGCTTTGACGAGCTGGTGATCTTCGCAAGCATTCGCAGGCATCCGCAGCAATCTGTCGCAATCTGCAGCGATCTGCAAACACAACAAAGCTCGGACACCGACACCACCATCCACCAAAAACCTGTCCCCCCAAATCAAAAAATCAGACCTGGAAGAAGGGAGTCCAGTCGATGTACTCCATGATTTCATCAATGGGATGGTCCTGTGCGGCATTGCATCGTTAGATTTCAGCTACAGGCTGCTTCTCGTGCTGAAGGACTGCTGATGGCCTTGAGGCACATGTTGCCGACGAACTTCCTGGCTTGCCAGGCCCGCCCGGGCCAATGCTTGAGCATGACACGGGGCGACAAACTTGAAAGCATGCCAGCAAGGCGGCTTCGGCGGCAGCTTGCTCCAGTCGAGCTGGGGCTTCTTTTTCTGTGCCTGTCACCACCATCACTAGGAGTTCGCTCGATGGCAGCTCGTGGACGCACCTCAGCCAGCGTCTTCCACTTCTTGTCGATCAAGGTGTTGTAGTACTCCTCCCTGATCTCAGCGTACTCCTCCTTGATCTCGTCGATGTACGTCTGCTTGTCGGCGGACCTCACTACACGATCCACGATTCTCCCGCACAGCCTGACACCCAGCAAGGTGTGTAAGACTGTAGGACGTTGTAAGACACCAACAGCAGTGCGCTGACCACCGTGCAGCTTCTGCTTGCATCCAAGACCTTGAAGGTTTGGGCAAGACATGGCAAGAGAACTTGCTGGACATGGGACATGCTGGGTCTGTAGAGTCTGAGTCTGGTAGTAGAGTCGCTGGATGTCGCTGGGGCGACCCAAGGCAGCGACGTGAATGACGCCGTTCTCGTACTTCGTGGTGATCTTCACCGCCTTGGAGCAGAACAGCTTTGCGATGCGTTGCAGACCCGTCTGAGTAAGGCTGAGTAGCTACATCTGGGTGCCCCCACCGTGTGTCGCTTCGACGTGGTGGCACCGCCGATCATCAAAGGCAACTGGCACAAGATGCGCAAAGATGCGCAAAGATGCGCAAAGATGCGCAAAGATGCGCAAAGATGCGCAAAGGCATGTCACAGCATTCCGCAGGAGTTTCGCTATGCTATGGGGCTTCATGGTGCGCCCTGCGGCCTTCATGCCGCGAGCCTTCATCTGCTCCTAGGGAGGCAGGCTCCCACAAGTGCTCCACAAGCTCCACGCATTGCTCCCAACGAGGCAAGGACAGCCACGTAGACCATCTCATCCAAGGACGGCGTGATCAGCCTCAACGGAAGTGCATCCCAGCGGAAAGTTGGGCCGAGCGAGCTGCCAAGGCGGACCCCGAGAGTCCGATGACGTCCACCTTCTCCTGCAGGCGGCTCGCTGCGACTCGCTCTCACCAGATTCATCGCACGGGTCTGCATGCAGCCTACATTGGGCCTACATGAGCGCAAGTCTGCATCCATGCACCGTCCTCGACGGCTTTGTCCAGGATGTTCTCGCAAGGCACCATCACGCCCATGTCAATCACCTGCTGCGCCAGGCAGTTGCAGGGCAGTTGCAAGGCTGCAAGGCATCTCGTTGGTGGGGTGGGGGTGTGGAGGGGGGGGGGGGGGGGGGGGGGGGGAGACCAGGAACATGTCAATGTCAGTCTGTCAGTATGTCACACGGCGCGCGCACCTTATAGTTGTTGCAGCCCAGGACAACTCCCACGATGTTCTTGCCAATGTCGTGCACATCTCCCTTCACGGTTGCCTGAGCCGGGCATGCGCAAAAGCAGGTCAGCGTCGCAGCATGTGGCAGTGCGCGTGAACCCAGCTGCGAGCCATCAGCACGGTTCCGTTGTACTTGGGCTGGTTGGGGTCCTCGCCCGCTGCAATGGCCTGAGCATCGCGTGCAGCGCTCGATGATGGGAGCACGGGAGCACTGCATCAAGCACAGTCTGCTGCCAGCCACATCTTGGACGCGAACGGCTGCACGCCTCTCTTCTTCCATGAAGGGAGTGAGGTAGGCTACAGCCTGCGGAGTCTGCTGGCTGCTTCCGGGTCGCTTGAATGCTGCCCCTTGCCTTCTTCATGACTCGCGCGCTCTTGATGACCTGCAGCAAGCCAGAGAAACAGGGAGCGAGCAGCGCCACGTCAGGACGAGCCACAGACAGGCCTGCGGCAAGAACATCTTGCCTGACCCAAACAGGTCTCCGATGATGCCCATGCCTGTGGGTCCGCGGGCTATCTGCAGACTCCGCGGCTCTCCATCTTGGACATGACATGGGGACGAATGGAAAAAATGGGGAAACCTTGCATCAGTGGCCCCTCGATGACGTGCAGCGGGACGTTGAGGGCTGCCCGCGCCTGGCACAGACATGCACAACCGCAACCGCAAATGCACTGCTGCACGTGCATCCGCTGCCCGGATGCCACCAGAGGTGCCGCCAGAGATGCCACCAGAGGCACCATCGGGCGCACGCCAACACACCGACAAGGGGGCTGACCGGTGCTGACCCCATGACCCCACTGCGGAAAAAACAAAAATATGTAATAAATAAACGAAACGAAAAGCACGGCCCGTCCCGGTGGACCTCCTCGGTATCCTGCTCAATGAACTTGTCAATGCCGTTGATCAGCCTGCAAGCTGCTCAGAAGCTGCAGGATTGCAAGATACCTGCAGGGCGTGGGCGTGGGATGGCGTGGGTGAGGATAGGTGAGGACGCCGCCCATGGTGAAGGCGCTCCGTATAAGTGCCGCTGCGCCAGGCGTCCTGCACGCGAGGGGCCGCTCGAGGGTCTTTGAGGAGCAATCGGAGCACCATGGAGCACCCATTCGAATCCCGCCATGCGAGCATCAAGCATCCAAGCATATCCAAGTGACAATTGCGACGACTCCCCACCTTGGCGGGAGCCGCCCCACCGGTGGAAGCGGCTGGGGCGGGCTGGCGCACTGCCTTTGGGACGGGCAGCAAGCTGTGCCATCATGCGCAATCCACTCAAACTCCCCCCTTCGACCGCGTCAGTGGCCTCTGCGTACTCCAGGAAGCGCTCGACCTCAGGAAAACGGCTTCTTTCTCACCGCTTACAGCAATGGCTTGTGAGCTCCTTCACTGCCTGGGAGACAGCACAGTTAGGAGATGTTAGGAGTCAGAGGCTCCGTCATGCTTGCCATCCGCCGATTGGTTCAGGATCACCTGGAGAAGCCGCGCTGCATAAAGCACAGTCCGGGCAGCTGCCTCTTGGAAACATCCTCCTCCTGATGTGCTCTATCATCTATCCCTCTAAATTACATGTCGTGACTTGTCGACGCATATCAGCACAACATAGCATGTGGCATAGAGATCGAAAGAGTCTAGCTTCTGCTGACGATCCATCAAAATAATCACCATACTACGAGTACGGTGGCCTTGTAGTTAGAATCGAATCTTGCAAACGAATCCGACAAAGGCGGGGCCTCCTCCGCCAACTTGCGAGAGTGGGCATCGATGTCGTCGTATCGGGGCAGGCCTGGACAGGACAGGGCATGGGCGAGTTGTTTTGCCACGTGCACTTGCTGCCACGCTGGCCTCCCGGGTTCACGATGGACATGTTCAATCCCTTGGGGATGGCGTGGTAAAGGAACACGCTGTGCATGGCGTCCCGGAGGGAGTTGAGGCCGCGGAAGGAGAAAGACAGGTTGCTTAGGCCCCCGGAGAAGGAGACGCACGGGCAGGTGCGCTTGATCTCGGCCACCGCGTTGATGAAGTCGATGGCGTAGGAGTTGTGCTCCGGCAGGCCCGTGGCGATCGTCAGCACGTTGCAGTCGAAGATGACATCCTCCGGCGGAAAGTCCAGGTTCTCTCGCAGCACCCTGTAGCTGCGCTGGCAGATGCGGACCTTGTCCTCGAACGTGGCTGCCTGGCCCTTCTCATCGAAGGCCATGATGACCACGGCGGCTCCGTAGCGCATGCAAAGCTTGGCCTGACGAAGGAACTCTTCCTCACCAACCTTCAGGGAGATCGAGTTCACGATGCACTTGCCCTGCACACACTTCAGGCCCTCCTCGACCACAGGCCACTTTGAGGAGTCGATCATGAAAGGCAGCTTGGCCACGGTGGGCTCGGTGACGCAGAGTCTCATGAACTTGCTCATGGCCGACTGCCCGTCAATAAGGTCGGAGTCGAAATTGAAGTCCAGGATGTCTGCCTTCTTCTCGCACTGGGCGACGCAAACCTCCATTGCCTCATCCCACTTGTAGGCATCCACAAGTTTCTTGAACTTGGCCGAACCCATCAGGTTGCAACGCTCACCGACCCACTGGAAGCCCGCCTCCTTGTCCACACTGCATGGCTCCAGGCCAGAAAGCATCATTGTTGGGTACTTGGGAATCTCCGGCAGCTTGCGCACCGGGCAGTCCTTCACCTTCTTGCAGACCGCCGCAATGTGGGAGGGGAAGGTGCCGCAGCAGCCCCCGACAAAGTTCAGGATGCCATCCTTGGCGTAGTCCAAGATGTTGGTGGAGAAGATCTCGGGGTCCTCATCGTAGCCACCCATGGCGTTGGGCAAGCCGGCATTGGGGTAGACATGGCACCAGCCCGTGTTCATGTCGGCCAGCTTCTTGTAGAAGCCCTTCATCTGGCCAGCGCCCAAGGCACAGTTGATGCCGACAGTGAAGGGCTGCGCGTGCTTCACGCTCACGTAGAAGGCCTCGATGGTTTGCCCAGAGAGGGTGCGGCCACTGTTGTCCACGATCGTGGCGCTGAGCATCACGGGGAGTCGCTCCTTCTTCGTCTCCAGGAAATACTGATCCACCGCAAAGATGGCGGCCTTACAGTTCTGGGTGTCGAAGACCGTCTCGATCATCAGGAGGTCGACACCGCCATCCACGAGACCACTGACCTGCTGCTTGTAGGCATCAACCAACTCATCCCAGGTTACGTTGCGGAAGGATGGGTCCTCCACACTGGGCGACACGCTCAGCGTGCGGCTGGTGGGTCCAACCGCCCCAGCCACGAACCGGGGCTTGTGCGGCTCCTCCTTCGTCACCTCGGCCGCGGCCTTCTTGGCCAGCTCTGCTCCCACCTTGTTCATCTCATGCACAACGGCCTGCATCTTGTACTCACCTTGCGAGATGGTGGTGCCGTTGAAGGTGTTGGTCTCACAGATGTCCGAGCCAGCCATGAAATATTCCTTGTGGATGTCCTTGACCATGTCCGGCTTGCTAAAGATCAGGAGGTCATTGTTGCCCTTCAGGGACACGGGAATGCCATTGGCGTCCTTCTCGCTGAAGTCCTTGAACCGGTCTCCACGGTAGTCCGCCTCCTCCAAGCTCTCTGCCTGGATGCGGGTTCCCATGCCGCCATCAAGGAAGCAGATACGCTTCTTCAACTCGCCATTGAAGTAGTTCACCACCTCCGTTGGCGTGGGCGTCTTGCCCTCGATGATCTTCTGCGCCACCTTCTGCGTCTCCTGCGCGCCCTCCACGCGGCATGGGTCCACGAGCTTGCAGCCAGGCTTCGGCTGCACATGTTCGGCCTCACAGGACACCGTGTCCTTCAGGGATCGGAGGAATGCGCTCTGCTGCTCGGGCGAGGACTTCTCGATTTTCAATACCGGACCAGCAGGAGCCGGAGCGGGCGGCTTCTTCACTTGCTCCGCATAATCAAGGAACCGCTCCACATGATTGCCGTCCTCTGACTTGTTCAGAATCACTTCCTCTGCAAGTGTTCGTGTCTTTGGGTCAATATCCTCGTAGCGGGGAAGACCACCCGGGTTCACGATGGACATGTTCAATCCCTTGGGGATCGCATAATGCAAGAACACCGTGTGCATGGCGTCCCGGAGGGAGTTGAGGCCGCGGAAGGAGAAAGACAGGTTGCTCAGGCCCCCGGAGAAGGAGACGCACGGGCAGGTGCGCTTGATCTCGGCCACCGCGTTGATGAAGTCGATGGCGTAGGAGTTGTGCTCCGGCAGGCCCGTGGCGATCGTCAGCACGTTGCAGTCGAAGATGACATCCTCCGGCGGAAAGTCCAGGTTCTCTCGCAGCACCCTGTAGCTGCGCTGGCAGATGCGGACCTTGTCCTCGAACGTGGCTGCCTGGCCCTTCTCATCGAAGGCCATGATGACCACGGCGGCTCCGTAGCGCATGCAAAGCTTGGCCTGACGAAGGAACTCTTCCTCACCAACCTTCAGGGAGATCGAGTTCACGATGCACTTGCCCTGCACACACTTCAGGCCCTCCTCGACCACAGGCCACTTTGAGGAGTCGATCATGAAAGGCAGCTTGGCCACGGTGGGCTCGGTGACGCAGAGTCTCATGAACTTGCTCATGGCCGACTGCCCGTCAATAAGGTCGGAGTCGAAATTGAAGTCCAGGATGTCTGCCTTCTTCTCGCACTGGGCGACGCAAACCTCCATTGCCTCATCCCACTTGTAGGCATCCACAAGTTTCTTGAACTTGGCCGAACCCATCAGGTTGCAACGCTCACCGACCCACTGGAAGCCCGCCTCCTTGTCCACACTGCATGGCTCCAGGCCAGAAAGCATCATTGTTGGGTACTTGGGAATCTCCGGCAGCTTGCGCACCGGGCAGTCCTTCACCTTCTTGCAGACCGCCGCAATGTGGGAGGGGAAGGTGCCGCAGCAGCCCCCGACAAAGTTCAGGATGCCATCCTTGGCGTAGTCCAAGATGTTGGTGGAGAAGATCTCGGGGTCCTCATCGTAGCCACCCATGGCGTTGGGCAAGCCGGCATTGGGGTAGACATGGCACCAGCCCGTGTTCATGTCGGCCAGCTTCTTGTAGAAGCCCTTCATCTGGCCAGCGCCCAAGGCACAGTTGATGCCGACAGTGAAGGGCTGCGCGTGCTTCACGCTCACGTAGAAGGCCTCGATGGTTTGCCCAGAGAGGGTGCGGCCACTGTTGTCCACGATCGTGGCGCTGAGCATCACGGGGAGTCGCTCCTTCTTCGTCTCCAGGAAATACTGATCCACCGCAAAGATGGCGGCCTTACAGTTCTGGGTGTCGAAGACCGTCTCGATCATCAGGAGGTCGACACCGCCATCCACGAGACCACTGACCTGCTGCTTGTAGGCATCAACCAACTCATCCCAGGTTACGTTGCGGAAGGATGGGTCCTCCACACTGGGCGACACGCTCAGCGTGCGGCTGGTGGGTCCAACCGCCCCAGCCACGAACCGGGGCTTGTGCGGCTCCTCCTTCGTCACCTCGGCCGCGGCCTTCTTGGCCAGCTCTGCTCCCACCTTGTTCATCTCATGCACAACGGCCTGCATCTTGTACTCGCCTTGCGAGATGGTGGTGCCGTTGAAGGTGTTGGTCTCACAGATGTCCGAGCCAGCCATGAAATATTCCTTGTGGATGTCCTTGACCATGTCCGGCTTGCTAAAGATCAGGAGGTCATTGTTGCCCTTCAGGGACACAGGAATGCCATTGGCGTCCTTCTCGCTGAAGTCCTTGAACCGGTCTCCACGGTAGTCCGCCTCCTCCAAACTCTCTGCCTGGATGCGGGTTCCCATGCCGCCATCAAGGAAGCAGATACGCTTCTTCAACTCGCCATTGAAGTAGTTCACCACCTCCGTGGGCGTGGGCGTCTTGCCCTCGATGATCTTCTGCGCCACCTTCTGCGTCTCCTGCGCGCCCTCCACACGGCATGGGTCCACGAGCTTGCAGCCAGGCTTCGGCTGCACATGTTCGGCCGTGCATTCGACTTCCCACTTCTGAGACCTAGGCATCAGCTATCATGACGATCATGGGCACTGCACGAAAGACTGCAGGGGCCGCGCCTCAGCGACCCGAGCTGTTGCTCGGGGGTGCTGGACTTGAAGAGCTTCATCGGGAAAAACCTGGACAGAGCATGCTGCAAGACGTTCGCAATGATGAGACACAAGCAAAGATGGATGCAGAAAAATGCCAAAGGACTGCAAAGCACGTCGGCCTCGAAGGTCGTGCACAACGGCTTCTGGCTTCACTCCTAGCTGTCCAGAAAGTGGGCATGCGCCTACTGCTAAGATGATGTCAGACAAGTATCTCAATGATCTCACAATATATACAAACAAAAACACCAACAAAAAGCTCAAAGTGCTCCTCGCGCGAGGTACTGGCGCCGCTCGCGAGAGTATGTGAGAGCAGGAAGCAAATTCCGGCCTCTGTACGGCTCTGAATGGACACTAATGGAAGACGATAGAGACGCGAGCGCCTTCATAAGGCCTCCCACGCCCTGGAATCATAATTGAAAGCATCTCCCATCTGAACTCTAAGTGTTCCATGAGGTTCTATGAGTCTATGGAGACTTTCCACACGCATCCAGCTGAGGCTACGGCACTCAAAATTTCTGAAAATAGTGCCTGCGGTGCACAGACAGATGGCAACAGGCGTGTGCTTGTCACATCTTTTCACGTTCACCAGGATCCAGGAGGCATTTGGAATCGCTTTCCCCGGCCTCTTACCCCTCGCCACCCGCACCTGCCTTCTGCAGGCACAAGTGGATATTCCCTCCCTTCGGAAGAACACGTCTTTGTGATAGTTTTGTCGTGTATGCATTGAAGAAGACTAGTTGCGAGATCTCGAAGAGTACCCTTCAAGTTTGTATTGGGGCTTCAACGGGTGTGCTTTTTACTTACACGAAACCACAACCATTGCTTTCCAAGCGTCGTTTGACTTGCTGGATGCTCGCTCCCCTAAAAAAACCACCCTCGCTTGCTCAGGTGCGCATCGCGGTGAGGGTGGTCGTGGCGGGAACTACTTCTTGGTAAGTCCTCAAGATAGTCCCAGTAGTGGTGACAAGAATGAACGAAGGCCTACGAAGGATAAGAAAGACAACGATGAAATCTTTGCGTGCAAGCATACTTTCAAAGCATGAAGGCGTGTTTGCGCGCGACACACGAGACGATGGACGAGTTTCGTGAAACCTTGGGGGCTCAAGAGGCTCTCGCATCCATCGGGGGGCGGATGCGCGAAGCGCCATCACAAGCAGTTGCATGCTTCAGGCGCTTGCAACGATAGTGCTGAGTCATGGACCGAACACCGCAGCAAGCGCAGAAGCAAGCGAGCCAAAGTGGGCAGAAGGTGCAACTCCAGCTCTGCTCTTGAGTTGGTACAGTAGCACATGCGACCCGTTCCGTGGCTACTGCAAAGCGCATTGTTTTTGGTCGGTGGTGTTCGTGTGTGGGATTCGCTCTCAGGAGCGCATAAATGCTGCGGCTGCCTGAGTGCTCTAGGGAAAAGTCCGAAGCCGCAGAGCCCGATTGTACATATTGTACATGGTCACTTTAATAAAAATTCAGTCATTACTCGGTGCATATGATGCATTTGGCAATATCTGGCACCATAACAATCGGCCCAGGTCTTCGGACGTGTGTCTGTGAGACTCACAGTGAGACACTGCCCGAACTTCCCGAACAGGCTACAAAGTGCATGAAGATGCAGAAATACACGGGATTGGACTTGTGACCAAACGCCACAAGAGTAGGCAAGATCAAGCCGCCTTGCAGAGCCATCCTTGGAGACCAGTCTCTCGATGTCTCGCAACGCTTTTAAGATACAGGTTGGGTAGAGAGATGTAGAGAGCATCCAGCCATTCTAAAGGAGAGCCCTGATCTTACCTCCCCTTTCATCCCCTTTCCCTTCTTTCGCAATTTCTACCGACTACACACTCGAATACCTCGGTTCATGCATGTTCTTGGCAGGTACCATGGTCGGACATCTGGCTTTCGCTTCCAAGCTGCATCGCTTCTCATATCCCAGCACGGTGCTTCCCAGCCAGCGCTCCGTCCCCTGAAACAGGGCTGCTCTGGTCACTGCTCAGATCACTGCTCTGATCTTCGCTGTCGGGGGTGGAGGATGGCAAAGGCAAACATCGAGATGGAAGGGAAACGTTCGAGCGACCATCAAGTCAGCGCCTCCACGCCGGTCTCGCCGCGTCGCTGGGAGTAGGACCTCAAAGGGCTCCGTTTCGGGGCATCGCTCGTGCACTGAGAGGCACGGCGGCTTCACCCGCGCTGCCCATGCCTTCATTCTCTCGTGCTCTTGAGCTCCGCGCTGCACCTGGTCAACATTGACCTGGCCCACCGAGAAGTACTTGGCCTGGCGAAAGCGGCCACGGATGCAGTGCAGAGAGTAAAAGAGTATGATGATGATTATGACTATGGTTAGTTACAACGCAGACTTGTAGTAGTCAAGAGTAGTCGGATGTCGAGGTTGAGGAGCAGCCTGTGGGTGGGCAAACACCAGAGCCGACACGGATGCGCTCGGCCTGTCCAGCGGCAACCCATTCGGCAGAGGCAGGCCCGCTCACGTCACACGTGGCCGCAGCCGTCTGAGGGCCCGGGCATCATCATGTAGGACTCCGTCAGGGAGATCTTCTCATCAGTCAGCCTGCAACAAGCCAAGAGTCTTGCAAGAACGACACTGCCAGAGAACACTGCTTCATGTACTGAACGAAAGGCAGATGGCCACGCGGCAACACGGCAATACGGCACACGCACGCGTCCCGCCATGTCCCGTCATACCCGGCCTGTCCACTTCCAGAAGGTCCCACCTCAGCAAGTTGCCCAGCAAGTTTCTGAGCAAGCTTCTGAGAGCTGCAGTCTGGACATTCTGGACGTTCTGGAGATCGGATGTGCAGCCGGGCGAGCGGCAGCGTCTTCTTTTCTCGGTGGTCAGGCTGGGACGGATATCCCGGGGCAGGGCGAATGCCCTGATACTTCACCTTCAGCATGTCCGACAAAGACAGCTTCTCGTCTGGCCTCAATCTCGGCCAATCATGGCCAATCTCGGCTCTGGCTTCGGCTTCCATTGGTCGGAGATTTCTTGAGATTTTCGGTTGGCTAGGACAGCGGCGAGTAGCCCCAGAGAGTGGTTCCTCGCTGAGACAAGAGCTACACATGCTACACGAAAAGATACTGAAAGCATTATGAAAACCTTAGGACGGATTTGCAGCTTCCGCTGTCAGCTGGTTCATGCTGGTTCACATCGAGCTTCGGATCTTCAGGTGGATGAGCTCACTGAAGGCCTCCGCAAGCCTGTCTGCCACGGCCTGCCCACACGTGACGGTACAAAAACTGTCGAGATGTGTTGCTTCGGTGCCCCTACGGCCCAACCTCCAGCAAGATCGCCTGGTCAATCTCACCCTTCTCCTCGAACTTCTGGCGTTGCTCGTGGCATCCGATGCCGCCCGTGCAGGCGAAGGCAGCGATGTAGTCCGGGGCTACATCCTGGGCAACCGGGGCAACTTGGGCCTGACTTGAGGATGCTGCGCCACGTTGCGCAGTCCGACAACACGTCGCGCTGCGTCGCGCCTTTGGGGCAATGAAGTCACCCTGGCACCAGTATGTGGACTCGCCCATGTCCAGCTGCTGGCGAAGCCCATAGAACTTGCATTTCACGGTGTCGCGGTTCTCGTTCGTGTAGACCTAATCGAGCAGTAGAGCAACATGGAACAACACAGCGAGAGGAAAGCCAAAAAGCAGCCTGCGGACAGTTCAAAAGCGACGCCGTAGCGTGCGCGAACAAAGCACCGATTTGCGAGTGAGCATGTCTCAGCGACTGCCGTAGGAACTAGCAGGTAGCTAGCAGCAAGCAGCAGCTAGCAGCAACTGTAGCGCGACCCACGGGTCACCTTACTCATAATGACCCACCCGACCCACCCAGCCTCGATGTCGTCACCGACGGCATTGGCAGGATGGATTCCCACCACGCCTACACTCGGATCACTCGGCCAGCCGGGTGGCCCATGTTGCAACATGTTGCAAACCCAGCCAGACCGATCGGACCTGAACACTTCAGAAGCCCCTCCTTGACAATCCACGCCTTCCACAGGTCACCGCATGCATAGGCGGAGGCAACGCGGGTGCCACGCAAAGTGGAGGCAAGGAGTAAGCCGGGGCTCTCGCCAACATGTCCTTCGCCTCCTGAAAGAGCTTCTTTGCTTCGGGGCCCACGCGCTCGTCCTCGGTATGGATCCGTCCGTGCAGGTCCGGCAGGAGAGCGACAGCAATGTCCAAGTGCCTTGAAGATGTGAGGGTAGTCGCGGTTGGGGTACTTGCCTCGCAGCTGGTACACCTCTCAGGCGCTTTGACGAGCTGGTGATCTTCGCAAGCATTCGCAGGCATCCGCAGCAATCTGTCGCAATCTGCAGCGATCTGCAAACACAACAAAGCTCGGACACCGACACCACCATCCACCAAAAACCTGTCCCCCCAAATCAAAAAATCAGACCTGGAAGAAGGGAGTCCAGTCGATGTACTCCATGATTTCATCAATGGGATGGTCCTGTGCGGCATTGCATCGTTAGATTTCAGCTACAGGCTGCTTCTCGTGCTGAAGGACTGCTGATGGCCTTGAGGCACATGTTGCCGACGAACTTCCTGGCTTGCCAGGCCCGCCCGGGCCAATGCTTGAGCATGACACGGGGCGACAAACTTGAAAGCATGCCAGCAAGGCGGCTTCGGCGGCAGCTTGCTCCAGTCGAGCTGGGGCTTCTTTTTCTGTGCCTGTCACCACCATCACTAGGAGTTCGCTCGATGGCAGCTCGTGGACGCACCTCAGCCAGCGTCTTCCACTTCTTGTCGATCAAGGTGTTGTAGTACTCCTCCCTGATCTCAGCGTACTCCTCCTTGATCTCGTCGATGTACGTCTGCTTGTCGGCGGACCTCACTACACGATCCACGATTCTCCCGCACAGCCTGACACCCAGCAAGGTGTGTAAGACTGTAGGACGTTGTAAGACACCAACAGCAGTGCGCTGACCACCGTGCAGCTTCTGCTTGCATCCAAGACCTTGAAGGTTTGGGCAAGACATGGCAAGAGAACTTGCTGGACATGGGACATGCTGGGTCTGTAGAGTCTGAGTCTGGTAGTAGAGTCGCTGGATGTCGCTGGGGCGACCCAAGGCAGCGACGTGAATGACGCCGTTCTCGTACTTCGTGGTGATCTTCACCGCCTTGGAGCAGAACAGCTTTGCGATGCGTTGCAGACCCGTCTGAGTAAGGCTGAGTAGCTACATCTGGGTGCCCCCACCGTGTGTCGCTTCGACGTGGTGGCACCGCCGATCATCAAAGGCAACTGGCACAAGATGCGCAAAGATGCGCAAAGATGCGCAAAGATGCGCAAAGGCATGTCACAGCATTCCGCAGGAGTTTCGCTATGCTATGGGGCTTCATGGTGCGCCCTGCGGCCTTCATGCCGCGAGCCTTCATCTGCTCCTAGGGAGGCAGGCTCCCACAAGTGCTCCACAAGCTCCACGCATTGCTCCCAACGAGGCAAGGACAGCCACGTAGACCATCTCATCCAAGGACGGCGTGATCAGCCTCAACGGAAGTGCATCCCAGCGGAAAGCTGCCAAGGCGGACCCCGAGAGTCCGATGACGTCCACCTTCTCCTGCAGGCGGCTCGCTGCGACTCGCTCTCACCAGATTCATCGCACGGGTCTGCATGCAGCCTACATTGGGCCTACATGAGCGCAAGTCTGCATCCATGCACCGTCCTCGACGGCTTTGTCCAGGATGTTCTCGCAAGGCACCATCACGCCCATGTCAATCACCTGCTGCGCCAGGCAGTTGCAGGGCAGTTGCAAGGCTGCAAGGCATCTCGTTGGTGGGGTGTGTGGAGGGGGGGGGGGGGGGGGGGGGAGACCAGGAAAATGTCAATGTCAGTCTGTCAGTATGTCACACGGCGCGCGCACCTTATAGTTGTTGCAGCCCAGGACAACTCCCACGATGTTCTTGCCAATGTCGTGCACATCTCCCTTCACGGTTGCCTGAGCCGGGCATGCGCAAAAGCAGGTCAGCGTCGCAGCATGTGGCAGTGCGCGTGAACCCAGCTGCGAGCCATCAGCACGGTTCCGTTGTACTTGGGCTGGTTGGGGTCCTCGCCCGCTGCAATGGCCTGAGCATCGCGCGCAGCGCTCGATGACAGGGAGCACGGGAGCACAGCATCAAGCACAGTCTGCTGCCAGCCACATCTTGGACGCGAACGGCTGCACGCCTCTCTTCTTCCATGAAGGGAGTGAGGTAGGCTACAGCCTGCGGAGTCTGCTAGCTGCTTCCGGATCGCTTGAAGGCTGCTTTCTGCTGCATCTGCTGCCCCTTGCCTTCTTCATGACTCGCGCGCTCTTGATGACCTGCAGCATGCCAGAGAAACAGGGAGCGAGCAGCGCTACGTCAGGACGAGCCACAGACAGGCCTGCGGCAAGAACATCTTGCCTGACCCAAACAGGTCTCCGATGATGCCCATGCCTGTGGGTCCGCGGGCTATCTGCAGACTCCGCGGCTCTCCATCTTGGACATGACATGGGGACGCATGGAAAAAATGGGGAAACCTTGCATCAGTGGCCCCTCGATGACGTGCAGCGGGACGTTGAGGGCTGCCCGCGCCTGGCACGGACATGCACAACCGCAACCGCAAATGCACTACTGCACGTGCATCCGCTGCCCGGATGCCACCAGAGGTGCCGCCAGAGATGCCACCAGAGGCACCATCGGGCGCACGCCAACACACCGACAAGGGGGCTGACCGGTGCTGACCCCATGACCCCACTGCAGAAAAAACAAAAATATGTAATAAATAAACGAAACGTAAAGCACGGCCCGTCCCGGTGGACCTCCTCGGTATCCTGCTCAATGAACTTGTCAATGCCGTTGATCAGCCTGCAAGCTGCTCAGAAGCTGCAGGATTGCAAGATACCTGCAGGACGTGGGCGTGGGATGGCGTGGGTGAGGATAGGTGAGGACGCCGCCCGTGGTGAAGGCGCTCCGTATAAGTGCCGCTGCGCCAGGCGTCCTGCACGCGAGGGGCCGCTCGAGGGTCTTGAGGAGCAATCGGAGCACCATGGAGCACCCATGCGAAGGTGAGCGCATCCCGCCATGCGAGCATAAAGCATTCAAGCATATCCAAGTGACAATTGCGACGACTCCCCACCTTAGCGGGAGCCGCCCCACCGGTGGAAGCGGCTGGGGCGGGCTGGCGCACTGCCTTTGGGACGGGCAGCAAGCTGTCCTATCATCCACTCAAACTCCCCCCTTCGACCGCGTCAGTGGCCTCTGCGTACTCCAGGAAGCGCTCGACCTCAGGAAAACGGCTTCTTTTCACGGCTTGCAGCAATGGCTTGTGAGCTCCTTCACTGCCTGGGAGACAGCACAGTTAGGAGATGTTAGGAGTCAGAGGCTCCGTCATGCTTGCCATCCGCCGATTGGTTCAGGATCACCTGGAGAGGCCGCGCTGCATAAAGCACAGTCCGGGCAGGTGCCTCTTGGAAACATCCTCCTCCTGATGTGCTCTATCAGCTATCCCTCTAAATTACATGTCGTGACTTGTCGACGCATATCAGCACAACATAGCATGTGGCATAGAGATCGAAAGAGTCTAGCTTCTGCCTGACGATCCATCAAAATGATCACCATACTACGAGTACGGTGGCCTTGTAGTTAGAATCTTGCAAACGAATCCGACAAAGGCGGGGCCTCCTCCGCCAACTTGCGAGAGTGGGCATCGATGTCGTCGTATCGGGGCAGGCCTGGACAGGACAGGGCACTCTGGGCGAGTTGTTTTGCCACGTGCACTTGCTGCCACTGGCCTCCCGGGTTCACGATGGACATGTTCAATCCCTTGGGGATCGCATGGTAAAGGAACACGCTGTGCATGGCGTCCCGGAGGGAGTTGAGGCCGCGGAAGGAGAAAGACAGGTTGCTCAGGCCGCCGGAGAAGGAGACGCACGGGCAGGTGCGCTTGATCTCGGCCACCGCGTTGATGAAGTCGATGGCGTAGGAGTTGTGCTCCGGCAGGCCCGTAGCGATCGTCAGCACGTTGCAGTCGAAGATGACATCCTCCGGCGGAAAGTCCAGGTTCTCTCGCAGCACCCTGTAGCTGCGCTGGCAGATGCGGACCTTGTCCTCGAACGTGGCTGCCTGGCCCTTCTCATCGAAGGCCATGATGACCACGGCGGCTCCGTAGCGCATGCAAAGCTTGGCCTGACGAAGGAACTCTTCCTCACCAACCTTCAGGGAGATCGAGTTCACGATGCACTTGCCCTGCACACACTTCAGGCCCTCCTCGACCACAGGCCACTTTGAGGAGTCGATCATGAAAGGCAGCTTGGCCACGGTGGGCTCGGTGACGCAGAGTCTCATGAACTTGCTCATGGCCGACTGCCCGTCAATAAGGTCGGAGTCGAAATTGAAGTCCAGGATGTCTGCCTTCTTCTCGCACTGGGCGACGCAAACCTCCATTGCCTCATCCCACTTGTAGGCATCCACAAGTTTCTTGAACTTGGCCGAACCCATCAGGTTGCAACGCTCACCGACCCACTGGAAGCCCGCCTCCTTGTCCACGCTGCATGGCTCCAGGCCAGAAAGCATCATTGTTGGGTACTTGGGAATCTCCGGCAGCTTGCGCACCGGGCAGTCCTTCACCTTCTTGCAGACCGCCGCAATGTGGGAGGGGAAGGTGCCGCAGCAGCCCCCGACAAAGTTCAGGATGCCATCCTTGGCGTAGTCCAAGATGTTGGTGGAGAAAATCTCGGGGTCCTCATCGTAGCCACCCATGGCGTTGGGCAAGCCGGCATTGGGGTAGACATGGCACCAGCCCATGTTCATGTCGGCCAGCTTCTTGTAGAAGCCCTTCATCTGGCCAGCGCCCAAGGCACAGTTGATGCCGACAGTGAAGGGCTGCGCGTGCTTCACGCTCACGTAGAAGGCCTCGATGGTTTGCCCAGAGAGGGTGCGGCCACTGTTGTCCACGATCGTGGCGCTGAGCATCACGGGGAGTCGCTCCTTCTTCGTCTCCAGGAAGTACTGATCCACCGCAAAGATGGCGGCCTTACAGTTCTGTGTGTCGAAGACCGTCTCGATCATCAGGAGGTCGACACCGCCATCCACGAGACCACTGACCTGCTGCTTGTAGGCATCAACCAACTCATCCCAGGTCACGTTGCGGAAGGATGGGTCCTCCACACTGGGCGACACGCTCAGCGTGCGGCTGGTGGGTCCAACCGCCCCAGCCACGAACCGGGGCTTGTGCGGCTCCTCCTTCGTCACCTCGGCCGCGGCCTTCTTGGCCAGCTCTGCTCCCACCTTGTTCATCTCATGCACAACGGCCTGCATCTTGTACTCGCCTTGCGAGATGGTGGTGCCGTTGAAGGTGTTGGTCTCACAGATGTCCGAGCCAGCCATGAAATATTCCTTGTGGATGTCCTTGACCATGTCCGGCTTGCTAAAGATCAGGAGGTCATTGTTGCCCTTCAGGGACACAGGAATGCCATTGGCGTCCTTCTCGCTGAAGTCCTTGAACCGGTCTCCACGGTAGTCCGCCTCCTCCAAACTCTCTGCCTGGATGCGGGTTCCCATGCCGCCATCAAGGAAGCAGATACGCTTCTTCAACTCGCCGTTGAAGTAGTTCACCACCTCCGTTGGCGTGGGTGTCTTGCCCTCGATGATCTTCTGCGCCACCTTCTGCGTCTCCTGCGCGCCCTCCACACGGCATGGGTCCACGAGCTTGCAGCCAGGCTTCGGCTGCACATGTTCGGCCTCACAGGACACCGTGTCCTTCAGGGATCGGAGAAAGGCGCTCTGCTGCTCGGGCGAGGACTTCTCGATTTTCAATACGGGACCAGCAGGAGCCGGAGCGGGCGGCTTCTTCACTTGCTCCGCATAATCAAGGAACCGCTCCACATGATTGCCGTCCTCTGACTTGTTCAGAATCACTTCCTCTGCAAGTGTTCGCGTCTTTGGGTCAATATCCTCGTAGCGGGGAAGACCACCCGGGTTCACGATGGACATGTTCAACCCCTTGGGGATCGCATAATGCAAGAACACCGTGTGCATGGCGTCCCGGAGGGAGTTGAGGCCGCGGAAGGAGAAAGACAGGTTGCTCAGGCCGCCGGAGAAGGAGACGCACGGGCAGGTGCGCTTGATCTCGGCCACCGCGTTGATGAAGTCGATGGCGTAGGAGTTGTGCTCCGGCAGGCCCGTGGCGATCGTCAGCACGTTGCAGTCGAAGATGACATCCTCCGGCGGAAAGTCCAGGTTCTCTCGCAGCACCCTGTAGCTGCGCTGGCAGATGCGGACCTTGTCCTCGAACGTGGCTGCCTGGCCCTTCTCATCGAAGGCCATGATGACCACGGCGGCTCCGTAGCGCATGCAAAGCTTGGCCTGACGAAGGAACTCTTCCTCACCAACCTTCAGGGAGATCGAGTTCACGATGCACTTGCCCTGCACACACTTCAGGCCCTCCTCGACCACAGGCCACTTTGAGGAGTCGATCATGAAAGGCAGCTTGGCCACGGTGGGCTCGGTGACGCAGAGTCTCATGAACTTGCTCATGGCCGACTGCCCGTCAATAAGGTCGGAGTCGAAATTGAAGTCCAGGATGTCTGCCTTCTTCTCGCACTGGGCGACGCAAACCTCCATTGCCTCATCCCACTTGTAGGCATCCACAAGTTTCTTGAACTTGGCCGAACCCATCAGGTTGCAACGCTCACCGACCCACTGGAAGCCCGCCTCCTTGTCCACGCTGCATGGCTCCAGGCCAGAAAGCATCATTGTTGGGTACTTGGGAATCTCCGGCAGCTTGCGCACCGGGCAGTCCTTCACCTTCTTGCAGACCGCCGCAATGTGGGAGGGGAAGGTGCCGCAGCAGCCCCCGACAAAGTTCAGGATGCCATCCTTGGCGTAGTCCAAGATGTTGGTGGAGAAGATCTCGGGGTCCTCATCGTAGCCACCCATGGCGTTGGGCAAGCCGGCATTGGGGTAGACATGGCACCAGCCCATGTTCATGTCGGCCAGCTTCTTGTAGAAGCCCTTCATCTGGCCAGCGCCCAAGGCACAGTTGATGCCGACAGTGAAGGGCTGCGCGTGCTTCACGCTCACGTAGAAGGCCTCGATGGTTTGCCCAGAGAGGGTGCGGCCACTGTTGTCCACGATCGTGGCGCTGAGCATCACGGGGAGTCGCTCCTTCTTCGTCTCCAGGAAGTACTGATCCACCGCAAAGATGGCGGCCTTACAGTTCTGGGTGTCGAAGACCGTCTCGATCATCAGGAGGTCGACACCGCCATCCACGAGACCACTGACCTGCTGCTTGTAGGCATCAACCAACTCATCCCAGGTCACGTTGCGGAAGGATGGGTCCTCCACACTGGGCGACACGCTCAGCGTGCGGCTGGTGGGTCCAACCGCCCCAGCCACGAACCGGGGCTTGTGCGGCTCCTCCTTCGTCACCTCGGCCGCGGCCTTCTTGGCCAGCTCTGCTCCCACCTTGTTCATCTCATGCACAACGGCCTGCATCTTGTACTCGCCTTGCGAGATGGTGGTGCCGTTGAAGGTGTTGGTCTCACAGATGTCCGAGCCAGCCATGAAATATTCCTTGTGGATGTCCTTGACCATGTCCGGCTTGCTAAAGATCAGGAGGTCATTGTTGCCCTTCAGGGACACAGGAATGCCATTGGCGTCCTTCTCGCTGAAGTCCTTGAACCGGTCTCCACGGTAGTCCGCCTCCTCCAAACTCTCTGCCTGGATGCGGGTTCCCATGCCGCCATCAAGGAAGCAGATACGCTTCTTCAACTCGCCATTGAAGTAGTTCACCACCTCCGTGGGCGTGGGCGTCTTGCCCTCGATGATCTTCTGCGCCACCTTCTGCGTCTCCTGCGCGCCCTCCACACGGCATGGGTCCACGAGCTTGCAGCCAGGCTTCGGCTGCACATGTTCGGCCGTGCATTCGACTTCCCACTTCTGAGACCTAGGCATCAGCTATCATGGCGATCATGGGCACTGCACGAAGGACTGCAGGGGTGCCTCAGCGACCCGAGCTGTTGCTCGGGGGTGCTGGGCTTGAAGAGCTTCATCGGGAAAACCTGTGGGATATCATGGACGGCATTTACATACCAACAATTACGAACATACATACATACATACATACATACGTACGTACGTACATATATACATGCATACATACATACGTACGTACATACTACATACACACAGACATACATACATACATACACACATACATACATAAATATTTTACGTACATATACAAAAACACATACACATACACATACACATACACATACTTTTACCTTTTCATCTACATATACATGTTCACATACATATACAGAATCATGTTCATATACATATACATATACATATACATATACATATACATATACATATACATATACATATACATATACATATACATATACATATAGATACACATATACATATACGAAAAATATGTATGGGTAAATGTGTGCATATTTTCGTATGTTTTCCCTTATTTATTCGCCTCGGCCCCAGCCGAGAGGCGTCTGGAACAAGCAGACCAGGATCTGGTCTCCTTCTCCCCTTCTTCTCCGAGCTTCCAGCCTGTGCCTCCCCTGGGACCCTCCTGGGACCCTCCTGGGACCACCCTAAACCTCCTGAAGCCCTCCCACTTCCTGAACTTCCTGAACTCATGACGTGTGTGGTACTGCACCAAGCCATATATCACTTTGGCTTTCCGTGCCTGCGTTGAGACCGCGAAACCCCGCTTTGGGCCGGCCCGGCTGCCGAGGCTGCGTGCGCAAGCGTTTACAATTTACTTCGGTTGATGTCGAATGTTGCTTGCATTTATACATGTTCGTGTTTCATTCTACCTCTCTATATGTTTACGTAATTGTATATTCCTCGGTAATTGATGATACTTCTTCATATTTGTTTATATATAGATATATGTATATATATATATATAGATATGTATATATATGTATATGCATTATGTATTTTCATAGCTACTAATTTAACATAATTTAACTCATTAATACATAAACTGCATTAATTTCTTTAAGCTGCTGCCTGCCGGAAAGATTCGAGTGCGAATGGAAAACGGATCTGGTCAAGCTCCTGGTCAGCTTTGCAATCTACGAGTAGCTCAAGCAAATCTTCACATCAAGAAGGTTGTTGATTGTTGAACCCCATCTCCTCTCAAGAGGTTCCGGGTATCGCTCGAGAGAGTATGGGAAACCAGCCAAAATTCAAGCCTTGGCTCGCCGATGTATGGCCACGCCCAAGATGCGCAGCTCTTGATGCTGGGGCTGCGGCACTCACAGAAACTCCAGAGGGTACAGTGCCTGCAGAGAGTCATTCCAGATAAGAGTCTGTGTTAAGGCTCTGAACGTACCTGCATGTACTTGCTGTTGTCACTGTCTGAACACTGTGGCTACGTGAAGCCAAGGCCACTGCTGAATTCTGGCAATCATGGTTGGGGAACGAGCCGAAAGGAAAGCAAACCGCAACAATCAGCTTCCGCACACATTGCTAAGCTTGGCTGCTGCTTCGCGGCACAGAGGGCGTGCAGAAGAAAGGAGAGCGGACAGGGTCTGCTAGCTTTTTCAGTCTTGTGCAATGACATTCCGGAGAGCGTCTCAGCAAAATGCTCAGCAGCTGCTGCAGCGCTCAAGCAGGAAGCTGGAGGTGTACTGAGTGCCGCTGGGGCAGCAGCAGTACAGACCACACGTTTGGAGCCCTTTGCTCATCCAGCACCGGCTGAAACTCTCGGAGCCCGGGACCGGGGTGCGGTCCCGACACGTCATGCGGCAGAAGCTCGGATTGACGCCGCGCTGGAGCTGCAAGCGCACGTGCCCCGCCTCAAGGCCCGCAGCGACCATTTCCTGTGTCTCATGAAGCGACTTCTCATGGGTGGATCTTCCGTTGACTGCAAGAACCATGGATCCGGCGAGGGAGTTGTCAAAGGAGGATCCACCACTGGCACCCGCTAAGATCGCGCTGCATTGCACCTGTGCACAAAAATGCTCCTACACGATCTGTGACTGCTTCCTGCAATCTGCTTACAAGCTCTCTCCCTTGCTTCTCCTTCTTCTTCTTCTTCTTCTTCTTCTTCTTCTTCTCCACAGCGCTCTCCCTCTCCCCTCGTTTTTCCTCTCCCTCACTCCTCCCCCTGGCTCCCTCACTCCCTCCCCTCCCTCGCTGCACTTCGCCTCAAAGGTGCCGAGCGTAGTTGTCAGCTCCAAGGTTGCGAGCTCGGCTGCGCTGAGCGAGATCTCGAAAGCCTCTGGTCTCTCTGACGTCTCCGGCCCATCCTGGATCCAAATGCCACAACAATCGCACAGCCACAGCGGCCCGATGTAACTCTAAAGGCGTCATGCGCATCTCATTTCGGGATTTCTAGCATTTTGCACTGCATTTGCACTGCATTTGCACTGCATTTGCACTGCAATTGCACTGCAATTGCACTGCATTTGCACTGCAGAGCGCCTGGGAGGCAATTGCATTGCCCCATTCGTCAGCGGCCCTGGGAATCGTCAAAGCCGACCTCGGCACTCTCACGAAACGAAGCAAGGACGCACAAAGGGGATTCAGACTGGACTCAGACAACACGTTCACGTTCGCTCATCATGCTCGTGCTAGAACATCGCTTCAGAATGATGAACCTTGAGGTGAAGTGTACGTACGCAAGTGTACGTACCCCTCACTGTGCGCACTGGAGTCACTAGAAATATGATGCTCCGGCCGCTGTGGTCGCTGAGGTAGAGATTGCAGTGCACAGGTCTTGCGCGGATTCACTGGGGCAGATGCCCACACCCCTCTTCTCCATCGTGGCCGGTCTTGTAGCTTTCCCCCTGTGCAGCCAAGAGCAACCCTTGAGGACCCCAGTATCTCACAGTGTCACAGAATGTCACAGAGGTGCCGAGCAGTGCCGAGCAGTGCCGAGTAGTGCCGAGTAGTGCCCAGCCTTGTAGTCGACATGGTCGAAGATGTATTGGTGGTACTGGAGTCTCAGTTTTCGTATGTTGGCGCCGTACATTCTGCCCTCGCTGGGGTCATAGATGCCCATTTTCAAGAAGTTCGAGAGCTTGAGACTCATGGGAACATAATAGAAGGCATTGTTGAGAAATGGCAGGACACACTGTGCTACCACCTCATCATTGCCCAGGTTTGTGGGTCCCTTCTGCAGGTGCTGCAATGTGATCTCCTTCGTGCCGAAGCGGTTTTGCAGATTGTCAAGGTAAGACTTCCATTTCGCCTCATTCGAGGGATCACTCTCGAAGTAGCTCTTCACAAGCACCAGCCATAGCTGGGCACGCTCGCTCTGGGGACTTCCAACCCCATGGCTTGCAAGGCACTCGAACATGCGCGTGCGCCACTGCCGTGCCGAACACTCGTCCTGCCGGCCACCCCACCACTTCTTTGCACCAGCATCCACCATGTCCAGGAAGCCCTCGTTTCAGCTTCAGAGACAGTACGCGCTACTGCACTGAGGCCTCTAGTACACGGTAGTACACGGCAGTACACTGCAATGCACTCGAGTACACTGCGGTACGCTTTAGTACACTGTAGGGCCTCAAGATCTCGGAATTCTGGGTTCCAAGTTCAGGCGTGGTTTCTCAAAGAGTCTAGCTGCAGCTGTCTCCTACAAGCACGTCCTTAAGGTATCGCCTGGAGCACTTAATTTCATTTCACACGAGAATTTATATATGCCTGCTAGGACCTAGGACTGTCCAGATTCGCCGGCCTTCGTACCGGTTTGTGGTTCCATGAGCTGTGCCTGGCACACTGGCTCAGCCCTGCAGGAAGAAGCCTCGCTCACCACCGCTCCCTGACAGCAGTGGCCAGGCACCTCGATGCAGTTCTCGGTGCCCGCAGCCGGCCACTTCCACTCACAGATGCCCTCGCTTGCCTTGTCCGCCTTCGCAACGCCACAGCACTTGTGCACGTCTGGCTGGACGGCAACAAAGCCAAGAGACCGCTTGCACTCCTCTGCCTCTGGAATGTCATCCACTCCATGCCAGATGTCACAGTAAGCATCAAGGGTGGTCTGGTTGGCACCAAAGGAGCCACGCATCACCCGGATCGAGAATTTCTCGCTCTCTGGAATATTGCAGCGAAGCAGCTCCTCGAACTCAGGTGCCGGCCAATACGGCTTGTAGGACCCGGAGCCGTTATCAAAGACCATCTCATACTCGTCATCTTCACTCCAAAGCTCGACGTTGTCAGCATGTTCTGGGTTCTTGTTCACGACCACCATCTCACCTGCGTAACGCAAGTCTTTGCGGGACCCGGCGTGCATGTTGTGCTTGCTCAGAAGGTCAAACTTCATCCTTTTCGACAACAGCCCTGTGAGACCCAGTGGGATTTTCAATGTGTCGAGCATACCACCAGTCGCGATCTCCAGGCGCGTGTCGGTCACGGCATAGGTATACCGCTGGCGGCCGCTGAACCTCACCCGACCGTCGGCAGACTTCACAGCACGGCGGCCTAGATCCATTTGCTTTAGCAGCTCCATGCCCGAGTTGATCGTTGCGGAGGTCTTCTCATGTCCGGGCAGATGCATCAGGAACTTGAGAAGGCTGCCACCGAGGTTCAGTGAAAGTGAGAAGGGTCCAACCTTAACACTTGTGCTTTCGGCAGCCTCCAACTTGTTAGCGTCATCCTGATACAGCAGTGAGTGCTCTGCGGCGGTGAAGGCGCGCTTCTTGTAGCTGAGCTCTCCGCGGAAGACCTCTGGGTGCTCCGAGAAGTCAAAGCTGGAGCCGATGTGGTGCAAGCCCAGCGTGTAGGCACGGAAGACTGCCGTGCCGTCACCTACGAGTTGGTGCTTTGTGAAGGGCAGGGAACGTGGAGATGGGAAAGCCGAGCTGTTAGCTGTGGCCAATGGCCGATCCCGAAAGCCGCACTGGCCGTCCAAGATGTCCAGGGTATCCACGACTTGGCCTTCCAGATGCTCCACGGACCCCATCTCTAAGGCCCGCTGCCGCTCACGGGTCATCTCCCCAAGGGCAAGAATCTCGTCGACCGTCGGCAGCCTGAAAAGGTTGCAGTTCGGGCACGTGATGGCTCCCTTCCGGGCTGTCAGATGGTTTTCCATGTAGGACCAGGCAGCACCGATCATCACCTGACAGTTGAACTGGAACTTGCCATAGCGGTGTGCAAAGAGCTTGTGCCAGACCCTCAGGAAGGAGAAGACCTCTTGCTCCGACACCTCTCGATGGATGTGGTCGAGGTCCAGCTTCCGGTATATAGACTTCGGAGCGAAGCTCGGGTTCTTGGCCTTGGCCGCAGCCAGCTCTTCGCTCGTCATGGTGTTGGCCGAGTTTTGCCTCTTCGACGTCTCCACGTCCTCGTAGCCGATGCGGAGAACGAAGATGGATCCCAGGTCCAGGCGCACGTCGGGCTTCTTCGGGTCACGTACAGTGTGCAAGTCAATGGCCAGCATCGGCTCCTGGTCACCGAAGTCCAAGATCAGCTGGGAGTGCTGGCCACCCACTTTGCCCAATGCACCGGTGGTCGTCCGAGTAATCTCATAAGCAGCCCGGACAAACCGGTCAGGCGCTCCCAACGGAAGCACTGGTGACTTCCCGCTCCCCAACTTGTCATCGTACACAAAGTCACCCGACACTGCCACCACGAGAAGAATGATGGCGAGGGACGGGAAACCCATTGCTCTAGGATGAGAAAACATGTGGAATCAACACGGGAGGAGTGGTTTCCCCACAGTGGTTGTCAGACAACTGCTTTCAAGATTCAAGCAAGTAGTGACGGCTGCGGGGCCCGACCATCCTGGAATCCTGGCCACTCACTTCGCTTATGCACAGACTCGGTTTTGTGAGTGATGTCACTTGCGCACCGAATTCTTTCCTTCAGCACATTCCTGGCCGACCCGAGTCAAGTCTCAGAGCCCGCAGGCAAGCCAACGCGGAGGTGCTAAGCGTGAGGAGCTGCAGAACCTGCAAAACCATTGGTCATCGGCTGCCCCATCCTGAGTCTCCATGAGTCTCCAATGCAAGATCGGAGGCTACCCAGAAAGCCAAGAGCCGGGCTGGGCACCCTGGGCGCCGTGGGCACCCTGAGCACCGTGGGCCTGGGCTGGGAAGCGTGCCCATATCATTGAGTTCTATTTGTCAAGTCTGGTTCCTCGGGGTCGAGGTCCTCCAGGCCTACATCAGAAACAGGAGACCAAAGACGCAATCGACAAGTATCGCCACGTCGAACATTCCCACACTGCTGATTTCCATGATGGTTCTAAGATTTTTCTTCCCATTGAACCCGTTTAGAGTGCAGGGTTGGGGTTCAGAGGGCCTTGTCTATGGCATCTGCAGTGGCAGAAGATAAAACATAGCAGGAAGTCATTCAAGTCAGAAGTGATCCTTGGGGCTTTGGTGTTTTGAGTTTGTTGGTGTCAAGGAAGATGGATTTTGAGTGTTGCTGGTTTATGGTACGTTCGGGAGGGACTTTGTTTTCAATTCCGACTTTCCAAAAAGAACATACCTAGAGAGATGTATAAAGCTATGTAAAGCTTAAGAGTTAAGCTCTAATGAGATCTAAGACTAAGAGGTTAAGACTTAATTCGCCTCGGCTTCCTGCCGCAGACCTGGATCCGGTCTCCTTTCCCCTCGTCCAGAATTTTGGACACCCCCACCCCCCCCCCCCCGCTCTGTGGGACCCCCGATCGCTTGGAGCTGCAAACCCCCCCCCCCCTCCCTCCCTCCCCCCCCCCCCTCCCCCCCACCCCCCCCCCCCCTCCCCCCCCCCTCCCCCCCCCTCCCCCCCCCCTCCCCCCCCCTCCCCCCCCCCTCCCCCCCCCCCCTCCCCCCGCCCTCCCCCCCCCCGCCCCCCCCCGCCCCCCCCCTCTCCCCTCTTTTGCGCCTGCTCCTTCCCCCAACCAACATCTCCACATACTGTACTGCATGCTCTGGGCCGGCCCGGCTGCCGAGGCGGCGCACGTAAGCGTTTACAATTAAGCTCTAATGAGATCTAAGACCAAGAGGTTAAAACTTAATAATACTTGAAAAGAAAATGAAAATCAGACTCAGATCGTCAAAAACGCATTCCGATGTAGCAGGATAGAGGTACGACTTGCGAACGGTCCTTTCGGAGAAGAACTGCCTTCAACTTCTTAAGGGGATGGTAGCGGATTTGGGTTGCCAAACCTCAGAGGGACGGTGCTTGCGGATTATCGGATTCCCGTTTGGAAAAAGAAGCTCTTAAACATCGTTGAGGAACGACGTTGGCGGTATTCAAGCAGAGGCGGGTTGATACGAGCAAGCTTTGCCCAACCAAGAGTGGCCAATAATTGCTATCGACCCGCTCCTTCAAAACTTAAGCAGAGGCGGGCGGATACCCACAAATTTTGCCCAATCATGTCTGGTCATGTCTTGTCAATATTTGCCCACACAAATACGCGGAAGAGTACAAGGCAAACAAAACAAACACCAGCACAACTAAACGTAAATATTGACCAAACCAGTCGTTACATTCAAATCGTAAAAGGCCCGAGGATCTACAGTGGCTACTAGAGCATGACAGAACCGTGTGTCAGGAGGAGTCGAGGCTGAGCGCGGCGCATCGACCCAGGCAGGCCTAGTCAACTTCTGAAACTTCTGAAACGAAGGGTCACGCCCACTGCATTGGCCGCAACCGAAGACGCAACGTCTTGCTAAGCTGGCAGCTGCGCAGGAGCAAAGACTGCCTGGCAGCTCAGGCTGCTGAAGACCAACTCAGTCCGCCTCGGCTCCGTTCACCTGGATATATCGAGCTCCCGCCTGCCCCGGCAAGACATTCTGCGTCTGGGCGAAATGAGCCTGCAGCCAGTGATGCCAGTAATATGGTTTTGGCGGAAACCCTGGATCCATCCAAGAAGGGGCCTGCTGGTATTGTAGCTGGCTCTGAGGTGGCGCTGCTGGCGCTGCTTGCTGAGCATTCCTGGCTCGGGTATTCTCAGCTCAGGTGCAAGGCCACTTGGCGAGTAGACGAAGGGAGCCAGGCGCACTGACCCGTTCCTGGCCTGAGTTTTGTGCATGGCGTGTGCATGGTTGGCTGTGGATCACCAGGCATGTTGCTTGCTGGGCTTGTTGCGGGCAGTATGAATTCGCTGACGTATAGAACCGGTATTCGGGATCCTGGTTCCATCAGCAACGACAGCTCTCAGAAGGCTGGAGATTGCTCGACTACTTGGCATTGGGCCTTTAGATCAATACACGGAGCAGATGAAGAAATATTGGTCCTCTCGACAGGAGATCTAACGTGTGCAACTTGTGCAAGTCCAACCCCGCATCAGCATCAGTTCCCTTGTATTCGCATGAAGATGTTGATGTAATAGGACTGCAAGTTGTTCGCCTGTGGCGGCGCATTGGGAGTCACTGGATGCCTGCAATGTTCTGGCAGGGCAGCCTCCATTTTCAGAGTCCCCTCAACGTGCTGACCGGCATTGACAGCCAGCGGCACTTCCAGCAAAAAGCGTATCTGGTACCTTTCACAGGATTCTTTGTTCGAGGACAAGCCGAGGACAAGCAGTGAAACTTCAAGGAGTCGAGGTCACCAGTGAGTTCCTGGACACGTTGGTGCTGTGGACAGGACCACTGTTTGGTTGCCGCCCTGCCCGAAACGCCGATCGGGCAAGAAGCTAGTTGAGTTAGCCTTGAAGTCGCATTGAAAAGCACAGTAGTTTTGAAACATTTTGAACTCATGACTTTGGCCTCGAAGAAAGCATCGAACCAACCGGCTATACCATGCACCTGGCCACCCCGTGATGAAGGTGTCTGGAGCATGCTCCAAAACAGGTCCCTGGCCAGACACGGCTGCGAAATCTCGAAGTCGAAAGGAATCTCGATCCTGAAAGGAAATCCCTCTTTGGACGTGTCCCTGCTTAAGTTCTGAAGTCACCGACTCATCACCGACTCATGGCCTGGTTTTCTGAGGCAAGTACGAGTGAAGCGACTCAATCGTAATGGTCTTGAAGTCGAACCTCCGATGCTGCGAAAACTGAGACATGCACTCACGATGTGAGGCAGCACCTCTTCTCAATGCACTTCGCAACCAGGCAGTCTGGATTGATGTAGTCCACGATGGGTTGTCGGAAGTGCTCCCTGCCATGAAGCGCATACATGAGAGATTGCCTCCAACGACGAATCACGGACAGAGGATGAGGCGGCATCGTGCTTAGTGCTTCGTACCGTCCATGTCGGATCCCACCCCTACCTCTCCCAGCCCTCGCGGTCCTGGTACATCTCTGCACTGCTGCCGTGAGGTCAATCCCGTAAAAGTTGGTGTTTTTCCAGAAGCCGTTCCTGCGCCGTGGCTTCTTGCTGCCTGATGCTTAGGAGTCCTGAAACATGCCTGAAATTTATCAGAAATGTCTCAAAAGACGGCTCAGCTAGCTGTGCAGCTTCGCGGCTTGTTCTGCTGCTCCCAATGCAGAAGCGAGTCGGAAAACGGAGCTATACCTGGCTTGGTACAGTAGCTGTCGGCGCCTCCACTGAGCTGCTGAGGACTTGACACAAGCAGGCTGGCAGGGCAAATCGTTCCAACATTCGGGAACATCTTTCCACCAGGCTTGAGAAAACGATCGCGAGCGCATAGGTAGCTCTCGATCATCCTGCAAATTCCACAAAGATTCAAATATTCAAACCAGGCAAAGATGGCACCTGATGTAAAGTTGTAAAGTCGACAGAACCCCAGACCCTGCCATCCCTCGGCTATACGAGCCTTTCGTTGAAGAGGAAGGTGCCAATGGGCTCGGAGACCAATACATCTACCTGCAGACTTTGGCCAGGGCAAGCTGCCCTACTGGTGACTCAAGTGACGAGAGCTGCCTTCCCATCAAGCTCGGATGTCGTGATTGTTTCCACGGGCCGGCTGATCACCTGCCGGTCAACCACCACAACTACCACCGTTGACCCACAATGGCTCCATTCGAAAGAGAACGACGGCAGCAGCAGCAGCAGCAGCAACAGCGGCAGCAGCAGCAAGCTGCTCTGACGAGCCTCCACCTTCTTGGTCAAAAACGGGTTCGCGTCGGAGAGCGTGCGCACCACTTCGGCCATGGACGAGGCCTCAGCTTCCGCAACGTCATAAAGTCTGATACATCTCACAGAGCTCGTCGCCTCCACCGCATGCACTTTCTCGGCTCCTGCCTACGTCCACGACACACCGGACACACCCAAACTGAAGAACACTTGGAGAATCTCTGCGATAGAGAACACTTGTTGCAAGGAGGAAACCGTGAGAGAGACAGTCAGCGAGAGCGAGAAGAGCCAGAGGAGCCAGAGGAGCCAGAGGAGCGAGAGCATGCGACAGCGAGTGAGGGACAGAGTCAACAATCCGCCAACCCCCGTCTGGGTGTGGTGCCGAGTGGCTGACATCAATTTCGGCCATTTAGGCTGAAGATGCTAGCCTTTCCTGGCCTTCAGCTAGCTCCGCAACCCAAGCCCTCCCTGCCAGGGTGCCGATGCCCTCCCTGGCCACAAATCCAGTGGGAAGCGCCGAAATCTTCTTTTACCCCATTCGGAGGTCCCGAACCAAACACAGCCGTGCCCTCTCGTCAAGCCAGGCAAGCTGGCCACCAGAGCACCGGAAGGCTTCTTGATCTGCTCAAAGCGGGCCCAAGGTTCTTGGCCGGTAAAGGCCCTCCCGGCCTCAAATTCAGCGGTGCCCTTGGCCAACTCCCAAGCCCCCCCTCCCCCCACCACCTGCCAGGATGCTGCCCCGCGGGGAAAGCATTTTACTTTGCTAGCCGTGGATAGATTGTATGAGCTATGTCAGGAGAAGGTCTGAGAGGTCATTGCACGGCAGCCTGCATTTTCAACGTTAGGCACAACATGGTCGGATGAAAATATGCGATGCTGTAGAGAAAACGAAGCAGCCGAAATCGGCCTGCACGGAAAAGAACGAGAGGATGCCGCTCCCAGCACCCAGGTCCATGACGACCTTCCCTTGGAAGTCATCAGGGTTCTCGACCTCGCCAGATCTCACCAGGTCACTGGAGCAACCTAGAAGTCAAGGGACCTCCAAAGATCTGAGAGCCTGACGATGGCGCGATGGTAGGTCGAGGTTCGCACACTGTCTTGAAGCATGTTTTGCTGGTTAGACAGCTTGGCGTAGTACTGGAAGTAGCTTTGAACACCTTGAGATCTGGCATGAGGAAGCACAGGAACTCAAGGTACATTGCTCTTGGCACCCCCTGAGCCACCTTTAAAGAGTAAGCTGTGAACTTGCTCCCTTCACCGTCATCCCCGAAAGGCCAAACAAGGCAGCTGCCGTATGCATTTCTGCAGAACATGTAAGCCATTGAGAGAAGTTTCTGCTCTGTTCGTACTGCTCAAAGCGCTCATAATCCTTAGTGGCAAATCGTCTTCTTGCAGCACCCAGGCCCAAGCAGAATTCTAAAACGCTCCCAAGCTCCTTTTCGTCAAGTCTCGGCGCGGCGCTTCGAGAGCTCGGCAGTGAATTGCTTCAAGCTTGACCTCCCATGAGCGTTTCATCCACTTCAGAAGACTCTTCAAGTGACGCAGTGACGCGACTTGCGGAGCTGTGCAGCCCATGGCCGAGGGTGATCTGGGGCCCACTCTCGTCCTCACAGCGGAGACCAATGTGGCCCTGCTTGATAAGCTCGAGCGCCTCAAGGCCGACATTTCGGGGACATCTCAGATCAGTTTTTTAGTTGGATTTAGTCGAGTTGCAGAAGAGAGTGCGGCGAAGACTGAGCAAGCGGCCAAAAAGTTTGGGCCAAGGGTTGATGCGCTTCTTATCTCGGATAAGGGCACTCCCTGGTTGCCCACAACGACGCGCCAGCTCTTCGCAGCCTGCGGTCTCGCAGAAATTACATTGCTTTCGAGACTTGAGTCCAAGTGCCTCCCTGCTCATTCGAACTGCTGCTGCTGCTTCACCTGGTAGCAGGTCACGCTGCTCGGTATACTTGTGCCTCTCCCATGCTCTCCCATCCTCTCCCCTTCTCCCATCCTCTCCCCTTCTCCCAGCTCTCAAGGCTCACCGGTTGGAATCCATCGCAGTTCTGCTGCATCAAATCTGGCGGAGGATGCGAGGGCAGCCAAGCGAAGAACAAAAGATGTCACTCTTGGATTCATCGATAATCACACTGGCCTATAGGGCACCATGAGGACTTCGCAGCCCTCCATCGCCACATTGGGTGCCTCTGCCACTGCCATGACTTCAAGGACCAACGGGAACCTGCAGAGTTCAACGGTTCACCAGGAATTTAATCCCAAAAGCCTTATTGGTCACAAAAGGCAACAGACCTTCTAATGCGTAAGCATGTCGCCCGTCGCCTCTAACCACGTCGAAGCTCTTCGAACCACGTCTACCGTCAAGGCATTTCCATTTGCCCGGGATAGAGTTTCTTGTTTGGAAATAGGAATAGGGCCTGAATAGGGAGTTTAGATGAGCTTGGGCTCAGATTTGTTGACAGTGTTCCGGAGTCGCAGTCTTGCTCGGGCCAATGTCTGGGATTCTGCCGTGGGCATCCAGAGGCCGTAGGTCCGTAGGTCGTAGGGATGGCGCGCTTCATCTGCTAAGCTTCTCAGCCTCGTTACTTGAGCTCGAGCTCCCATGGCTGCTGGATCATGGCCAGGACCAAGCTTCTTGGTATCACGATCACAGGACAGAAGACACTAGCCGCTAGCCGTCGCTAGCCCCGATGTCACCAGCCCTTGCATGTCCATTTTTTGATACACAGACGCGGCCAAGGCGGCCCTGGAATAGCTCAGTCTTGCACCTGTGGCCTCATCGGCGTGCAAGGGGTCACAACCCACTGGAAAGCCACAGCGCAACAGCCAAGGCGAGTGCAAGCTTTGCAGATACTCTCTTCGACTCTCCATCTTTAGGAGAACAGCCTCGTTCAAAGCCGTCTGGTTCATGTGCGTGTTTAGGCATATGACATATGCGTCTTCATAATCGCAACCAAGCGCGCAGCGAGGAACCCCTTGCTTTTGGACCTGACGCTGATTTCTCTGAGGAAGCAGGCCGAGCCCCAGCCGAGGCATAGTGGTACATTCATGAAACTAGATACTGAGTTTCACTCTGCAGCTCGTCGGTCCACAACCCACGTGCTTTGCCTCGGCGCTCTGACTCGCAGCTTCACAAGCCAGAGAGGCGTGGCATCCAGAAGGCCAACAGCGTCTCTCAGGACAAATTGGGTCTGGACACTGCGCACGCAGCTCCTCCTGCCAGCGTAGCTCATTTGTCTTTTCCCTAATCCATCTAGTCTACTCTCTGCAAGCAGATGCAAGCAGGCTGCGCGCTCCCGACCTCCGAGTGTGCAGTGAGGGTGGACAAGGAGAGGGCTTCAGGTGTCGGCGCAAGGATCTCGAAGGTAAAACCATCCTGCGAGCCGACGCTCGAATTCATACTTTTTGGGGACTCGAAGCTCTCTTACACTCAGGTTTATGGTTTCGGTGGGTTTTTTTGTAGAAGATGCATGCGGCCGCATGCATTAGGTTGCAGATAAGATAAGACCTTGCCCTAAAGATGACATCGGGGCATGCTGGCTTTGCATGGTGTTGCTGACAGGTTCAACGACTCTTTTGCGCAACAGAGCTTTCTATTCTCCTCCTCGTCGCTCTTGCTTCTCTCGAAGTCAGCTGTGTTGCGCGGCTCGAGCGTATCTGGAAATGAGGCTTCCAGTAGCTGCCTTGGCAATGCTTCGTCAAGAGATTCGCATGCCGCCGGGCCCATCACGTCATATCACGTCCCTCGGCCTGATTAACTCTTCCGAGCTGGTCGATCGTTCCGGATTCCGGCCCAACCGGCCACGCACCTCAAGAGTACGAGATAGGCTCAGCAGAGGAGGCGGTTGGCCGATCCGCCTCAGCTGCAAGGTCTGGCCGCTGCAGTGCAGACAGCCGCCGTGCCTCTTTGGGGTTGTGCTGCAACCCCACATTGAACTCAAAGACTGACAGGTAAAAATATTTCAGGTAAAAAACACGTAAAGGATGCCTCCAACAGCAGGGCACGCATCTCCCGCACCTGGCATCTGGAGACCTCAGTCCAACATAGTCCAATGCAGAAGAAGACGGACTCTTTGAGACTCTGTGAGGACGAGAGAGACCCTTCATGACCCCTCCCGATTTCCGGCCTCCAGGCCCAAGTCTTCGAGTGCTTGCACCATGCCTTCTTTGGATGTGGGCATCGCTTCGCCTCAGAGCGATGTGGTCACAAAACGGAGCTCAGACATGCGCTGGCTCAGCTCTGACATGCCAGGCTCCCAAAGCCAACTACTGTAGCGTGGCCCAGAACCTCTGAGCCTGCTTCTCCGCGAAGTTTCTCGGGCAAAGCCCTTCAAGACCTCGCCGGCCTGTCGCCTCTGCATGTATCTTTGCAATCGGCGCGCTGCGTTGCGCTGCAATGCGCTGTTCGATCGTGGCCTGCTTCGCCGTAAAGATGGTTCTTCACGTACACGCTGCCGCAAGGCACTGAGCGTTTCTGACGTAAAGCATTTCTCACCCACAGCCTCGAAAAGGCACTGCAGGCCTACCACACTTCTGACAGCCTCAAATAACTTTCAAGCTATCCACTCCATTGACGAGCCCCGCACCCGAAGGCGATTGTTCAGACTCCTCTCATTTCGGCCTGGCGTGTGTCTTCTGGAGGAATTTTGGGGAGGGCTCACCATGGCACATGGATGCACATGGCACACCGCCGTCGAGACCTCGTAGAGCATGCGCCAGCTCCTGGACATTCGTAACGCCGACCTGAGGCACATGGACATGGGACACATGAGCCGACTGGCTGCAACATTCGCACCTAAAACACAACCTTAAAAAGAAATGCCGCAGCAAATCAAATTCATGCAAACGGCCGCATGCATGGGCAACCATTATCAAGCATCTCTGTGCCTTAAGGGTCTGGCTTTCCCCAACTTCTCTTCCACGACCACCAGCTGAGTGGGCTTTAAATCTGGCTTGGCAGCTCCGATGAAGGCAGCCAGTGATAGGTCCAAACCTTCATGCAGCAGTGCCATCAGTATGCCATCAGTGCAGCCCAACTCTCAGACGGTCAAGAAAAATGCCCAAGAACGAGACCCTGAGCATCAGCCATTGTGCTGCGGCGAGGCTGCACATGCCATGTTCTGCTGCTCAAGCTCAAGCAAGCGTGCAGATCATGGACTTTCTGACGTCAAGGCCCCACTGCGGTTTGGGAACTGTAGGACCGTAGGACTGCGGGCTGTAGGATGTGCAGCATTGTGCGGCATTGTGCGGCCAGTGGCTGGCATTTGGTGGCACATGATTCTGCGAAGAGGCGACATGCTCTCCTTGAAAACGGTAGCTTGATCTGCGCCCTCTTAACACAATACGAGGGCGAGCCCACGCGGCTTCACAAACTGCACAAAAAAGAACCTGGAGCATATCCTGCAGCATCTTGTGTGCACCCAGCATCCTCGCAGCTTAACCGGTCAGATCTTTGAGACCTCAGGCAAAGCAACATCGGCTCACTTTGTTTTTTCTTTCCGTTGATGGCCACTCTCCGTCACACTCCATGCGGCAATGACATCTCATGCCAACATGTTGGCGAATGGCGTCTTTTGGCGTCCATAGCCACATTAACTGGCAATCCCGTGTCGTGGCGGCGGTGCAATATTGCAGCGTGCGCAACAGATCGCGACACTTCGGCACGGAACACAGAACGTCGCATCAGCGACGCATCCTTTCTTGAAAAGCTGACGCGCTATCACTCTGCGACCCCCTCCGGCTCCTGCACTTCGCATGCAGCCGCTTCCAGCACGTGTGGCCAAAAGAGGCGGCAAGCACATAGCAAAAATCAGCTGGCTTCGTAAAGATGATAAGTTTCTAGTGAAGGTCGACATCTTGCAACAGCAGTGACTTCGGTAGGGTGACGGCAAGTGACGGCTGCACACCGACATGAACCCGGTTGGTTGATAACACTTGCGCTGGCCAGACAAGTAGCCCGGGCACACGCTACATAACTAGCGGCTGTCTCTGTCGAGAGAGCCACCGAAGCTCACCTGAATTACATTGGACAGAACTGTCGAGGGGCACTCCGACTTCCAACCGGAAAGCCCCTGCATGCTGATCCCTTCGAGACCATCATGCTGTTAAGAAGCCACATCCCAAGGACCTGCGAAATGCCACGATACCTCCGCCTTTTTCTGTGTTCTCAACATTTCGCGCTCCCGGACGTGTTCAAAAAAGTTTCTGTAGCACCCAGCTTCCCGCAGCTTCCTTTCGCGGAAGGCATCATTTACATATAAAGCTCACATGGAACTACGATAAACTCAGTGCATAGGACACGCCTGCCACACGCAGCCTGTCAGATCTTGGCGCGGAGCTTCTCCCAGGACCTGCAAGAGCAAAAGTCTCAGGCACGCGTTGAGGTGTGTGGCCAGGCGGATGCATCAGCGAAACAGAAGCCACTGTTTTTGGGACGGCGTGGCTACTTGGTACTGAGGACGACTGGCGCATCATGTGCTCTGCAACACACATCTCCGCCACATCTCCTAGAACTTCCTGTGCAATAAAGGCCTCGTCATGTCGCTTCGGACTCATCCGGAGTCCTGAACTTCCAATTTTCCAGAAAGCTCTCGAAGAGCTCTTGACCAGTTGCACGCGCACAGCAGAGAATGGGCCTTGACCTTGGTGCCTTCCGGTCTGCCATCAGTGCCATGAACCTCGTTTCGCGGTGGAGATGCCCAGCCGGACAACAAATGACGGAGTGCTGCTGCGGTGCTCTTCGAAGGACATGCGGCCATCGCCATTTTGATCCACCTCGGAAAAGATGTACGGAGTGAAGCTACTTGACTGCCCCCAGCCTTCCCCAGCCGCCCAGCCTCATTCATCATGGAGTTGATCTCATCAACGCTAATGCCTGAAGGGCATCGCTCTGCAACTACTTCTCAGGCAGAAGATGTGCTCGGGACAAGACCTGCAAATCCGTCGTCATCATGCTCACTTTTGAGAAGAGCTGCCTCGGGAGGCAAACCGGGGTCAAGATTGCTGTTCCCCCCTTTTGTCCCACACCCTCAAGGTGGGGGGTTCCTAGATTATTGCTCGGCTGTTCGCATCGCCCTTGTCTCCTCTCCCACCTGACTGGCCACCACAGAGCATCCCCGAAAAGAGCATCCCTGCATGCCAACCTGCACGGAATCCAAAGTGCCGACGGCAGCTACCCGGACGGATAGGGCGGCTAAAACCCAGAACCTCAAAGTAAAGCGATCCCGGATCCCGCAAGAAACAGTCAGCACTGTGACATGCGAGGACAGATCAGGCTGTAACAGCGACGGCTACTCGGATTGCGACCCTTACACGCCCGATCTCTGTAGCCTGCAATTTTGACTCGCGAAAACTAGTTCAGGCTCCACAAACGCACCCGTTCCGAGGATTGCAACACATGGAGGAGGGGAAGGGAGGGGGAGGAGCACATGCAAGCACTTCTTAAGTTTTGATGAGATGTGCTTGGCACTATACTCTGCATCCAAAGAGTAGATTCATGAGAAGCAATTTGAGTCTTTGAAGACATGAAACTCCCTGCTACATGTTGATTGGATGTGCCAGGAATTTTGGCTTGCCTGCTTCAAAAAGGCTTTCAAGAAAGGCTGGGTAGCGACACACACACAGAGAGACACACCCACACCCACCCAACCTTTCGCAATACTTGCAGATCATGGACGAGCTTGCGAAAAGGTAGGTCCGGGCAGGTTCTTGATAAGACATTAGTGCTTGTAGTAAACAGAGGAGTGCACCCCCCATCCCACCTACCTCCCACCACTGCTAAACAAACGCTCACGTAGTATACTGCCAAGCTTGATGGGACTTTGCAGGCACTGGTTGTTTAAGAAAGTCGGGCATTGGCCACATTACTATATGGTCACAGACACCTGCGCAAACAGAAATAAAATTGTGGCCAGGCTTGCAAACCTATTCACTCCGAGAGCTTGGGCCAGACAATGCCAGACATCTACTTGCCTACTTCACTGCAGCTGTGCGGCAAGGTCGTTCTTGCAGATGAAGCCATCGCCTCACATGGAACGTGGTTCCAAACATGAGAGAACCGTTCAAGGATGACCACAGATTGCCGCAGTTGCAGTGACGTGCAGATCTGTTTGCCAATCTTCAGTTTCAGGTGGGCACTTTGCATCCCCCAATGAAATAGTGAGATCTTGGGGCTGGTTGTGCATGGCTCTCCAGCGCATTCTCGTGCGGACATGTGGACTGCAGGAGGCATCATGTGAGGTCATATGCCCACATCGAGCCTAGTTTCTGAGACACCGGTTATTGTGCAGGGCCCGTATTATCTCGTTGAGGTACCGGTTGATTCATTCGCACGAGATCTCCTCATCATGGCAGCTGGATACTGAGTTGGTCTTTCTTCATGCCTAAAAACATCTGTGTATAGTCTTCCGTCACGTCTAACAAAACGTTTCGGACGCATGTCCAACATGGGACGCTCGTACTTTTTCGACATGTCTAAACACTTACCAAGCAAAAGGAGTCATGCCCAAAACAGAAGCCAGGATCAGGCCCAGACCATTGACGTCGAAGATGTGGAAGGCCGCCTTGCCTGAGGACCAGGGGATCATAGTCTGGAGATGTCTGGAGTCACGAGTCCCCCAGTTCAAGACCGCCGCTTCACTGAGTTGCCCACACACCTGTTCCTGCAGATACTGCTTCTTGGAAATGTTGGCAGCAATGAACCTTGTTCCGAGTGACCCAGCACAAAAATTCTGAACCATCCTCGTCTGACAGTCTGTGCAACTGGTTGCCCACCAACAGACCAAGGGCTTTGTCACATTGAGCATCAAGCTCTGTGTAGTTCACCGTTCCGCTCCCGTCAACATCAATCTCATGCATGAGGCGCCTCGCATCCGCAACAGACGACACGCATGCGCGCGCAAACAGAGAGAGAGAGACACAAACAACAAAGGAAGTCGCAGCCTGCCAAAGCATGTTGCGACGTGTTGCGACGTGTTGCGACGTGTTGCGACGTGTTGCGACGTGTTGCAAATCTGCACTGCGAGCCATGGCCTCATTTCGATTCGGATTGGCTCCTCGACCTCTAGCCGCTCCAGGGCTTCGTCGATCTCTTCCACCTCGGCAACTAATCCACTCTGGTCCCTATAGGCAACGACTACACTATCCTGCACCTATGTGCCTCGAAATGAAGCCTGGGCTGTGAACTTGTGAAGGGCATTGCTCAGTCCGCCACTGAGAGGGTACCCGAATGGTCGTCATCCAGTGACAGGAAGATCCCACGAAGCTTCTCGATGGTGTCATCGGAAATCTTGCCAGATGAAAAGCCGGAGCCGTCAGTGGACAACATACCATGGGTGGCAAGCGTTTCTACTTCAGCCTGTCGAGCAATGATCTGAAGGGCGACTTTCTTCAACCGACTCTGCGCGACCTTCAGAAATCAGAACGCGCACAAGTTCACCTTGCATTGAACATTACCCCGACCCAGACGCGTGCGCACATGCGGAGCATGCAATTTCGGCTTCCCCGGCCACTTCACAAGAGGAGAACGCAAAAGTTAAAAGTTGTTCAAGAAGGCACAAATAGCAGGCTCTTTGCTTCCATTTTCCTCCCGCGTGCCTTGGAAGAGTTGGTTCGGATGTGCCAGGGACGATGAGTCAATCTACGCGGCCGCAGCCGGGGGGGTCCAGTTCCGGATCCGGGCTGCTGGAGGATACAGTACATGGGCCAGTACACGCTGCTAGGGTAGGAGCCTGTAGGAATTTTACATTGTTTTTTGCTTCGACGTGTTCTTTCGCTGAAGGGAACCAAGGCCTTGCAACACCTGAGACGCTCCGTGGTTTTTTTGCAGAGTGCACAGCGACTCCAAGGGATCGTATGGAATGTCTATCTGACTCTACCCATCTGGGTAACGGGCGAAAGTCCTCATCTGAGTCAAGTTGTCTTCCTGGGCCCACGAGACAGGCTTGCGCCGCAGGTTCTAGTCTAAGTGTGTATATCGAGGTCACGGCGTCTACCTTCGTATCTTGCTTGGCAACCTGACGAAGGGGAGCAATTCGGCCTTGCCCTTTCGGCCGTGTCTTCTCAACAGCGAGCCTCCTGACGAAACCAGTC